TTGGAAAAATGCTTATTTACGGTAGTCGGCAGCGATCATCGAGCTTCAACGAACTTTGACGGTCACCAGATTAATGTGCTAGGTGTTATTATGAGCCTCGATATATCATAAGTCAATAGTCTTAATTATTGAGAGAAGAGAACTCTGATTATCAATAAAACGAGGTGATCCATAGGATAAATCATCAAAAATGATAGGTGGCGCCCACCTATCGTTCTTACCGAATTCACTTGTTCCGTTGTGCCTTATGGGCTCCCTCTGGAGCCCAAACAGCAGCCGCACAACGGCGCATGATATAGGCAAAATGATATTACCGAAAAAAAACGAGGGAGACTGGTCTCCCTTTTCTCTGTCGGTAATATTATTCTGCCTATCATCAATAATCTTCAAACTATCGATAATGAAACCCGCCTTTGACAAATGGTCGGCTGGCCCGTCCCGGAATTTTATTCGCTTCTATCCAGTCTCTGGCGCCCTGGTTAGCAAGGGAAAATAGAATCTGTTAAACACTTTCACAAAACAGACAACATACACCGACACATGTTCTGATCCTGTTATCACTTGGTGTTGATGACTTACTAATTACTTTGATGTGCAGAAACTATTTTTGATGCTCCTCTAGATCTAATGGCATTGGGTTTGTCAATGTAACTAACACGGGACATCCTTAAATTAATATGTGGACTCTGGGTTTTAGCAACGAATTTATACGGGTGACGAACCTACTTTCCGTGGGTCTGCACATGATTTCATCCTTGTCATCTTAGACTTCCTTTCCTCTCTCATTATTCTAATGTTAAACGTGACATCCCGACTCAGAATCAGTCATTTTGGAGTATTTTCGCGGGCTTTGTATTCGGTGGCTACTCGCTTGAGAGGTATGCATAAAAGCCCCTGCGAATACGAGGGTATCTTGGGTGAACCGTTCAATGGAATCATTGCCTTAGCCTATAGTTCAGAAAAATCAGTAGTTATTTTAATTAAAGCAACCTGCCGAATTCCCGGATAAACCAAAGATTGATTGTTTGCTTCGACTCTGTTTGCAATTTATCCGTCCGATGTTATGAATAGTACAAACACTCCTCTTTTGACTTGTTGTTTTATTTAGACAGTCACCAGTTACGTCCCGTGGAAACATACAATTGTCGATGAATAAGACCCACATCCATGACTAAAAGCACCCACATACCACTGACATCATTGGTTTTCCTTATGTACGGATTAGGCTAAAAGAAACATAATTAACAATTAGTAATCAATAAGCATGATACTGGCGTTATAAAAGAATCAACAATGGAGCTGGCATGAGAAAAAGGACAAATGTGACATAACTCAAATCGTAAAGGAAAACGGATGACAAAAAATCGAGGAATGAGTTAAATACAACCAAATGGAAGACCTAATTGGAAGAGGAAGAACAAAATAAAGGTAAAGGATAAGAGGCACTAGCCTAAAAATAATCGAACGATAAATGATGCTTTCTATTTCTATGTGAAGAAAAGACTGCGTAAAAGCTGTCACAAGCTCAGCGCTATTTGGTTAAAATATTGTTTCGCCTTTATGATTGCCAAAGCGCATTCAAACGGCTCATGTCACGAATTGGATTGGATGGTAAAATAAATATGCATTTAAATGACAGACTAAACCGTCTGGCGAAATGCGCCGCCTGGGCATTTCAAATGACACTGTAGACATGCACATTCAGTTTGAACACTTAAACTTTAATACGCGAAATTGAGTATTTCCCAGCTAAACAACAAGCCGTATAGTGACAACAGGCTGCGACAACATAAGACAAGGTACCGACAGTCCGACATTACGATCAGGATCAATCATGTTTAATACGAGCAGGCGTAAGAGTGAAAGGAAAACATATTAGTGAGGAAAAATGTAATAAAGGAAAGAGGGTAAGAACATAAAATAAAAGAGAGGGGTAGGGCGCACGAGAAGATGAGCGGTAAGAAAATGCAAAAAACATAAATGCAGTGAGGGTTATAGGAGCTGCAAAATTGATGAAGAAAAAGAAAAGTGATGCAAGGAAGAAGGTGCAAAAAGGAAAAGAGAAAACCCAAACAACAAAATAACATCAACAAGAACTCAAAAGCAAAATTAAAAAAAACCAGAAGAAAAAAACTAGATAGAAAAAAGGGGAGAAAATAAAATTAAAATTCAAAACTTGCTATTAGGCTAAGTGAAGGGAGCAATGAGGCATATACTCCACGAGGAGTAGGTAAGCTGAAATAAGGGGGGATGAGGATGATAAGGAGAAAGAAACGAAAGAAGCGAACTATATCAAAAAATTGAAAATGGAAACATCAAACAGCTAGATAGTTTCTTCAGATTGGCAAACTTTTTAAAAGCAGCCAGATAAATGAATTGTTCCAAATGTTAAAAACATTAACTGTACAAAATGTGCTGCACAGTAGTCCGTCTATGGATAATTGGTACTATCTCAGTTTCTGGGGGAGACGAATTACATGACAACACTCACATTCAACAGACATGGGACAATAACAAAAAAACAAACGTTGATGAGTCACAGGCAGTAATATGACAACACTAACCAAGTGTTCGAATAAAATGCTAGACAATGTCGGTCAGGTGCCATTATGACGTTTAATGGTACACTGGTCCAACTTGCGTTTAAAAGCCTCGACGGAGGTGGACATGGCGACATCTGCAGGCAAAGCACTTCAATCCTTGATCACTCGGTTTGAGAAAAAGTACTTCCGAATGTCCAGCTTGGCGCCAGTTACACGTAGTTTAAGTGGATGATCTCGGAGTTTTCTTGTGGTTGCAAACTCAAAGAAATCAGCAGGAAGGAGACAGCAGTCCTGACCGCGCATTATACGGAATGTTTATATAAGGTAGCCTCTTAGCTGTCTGTAACTCAGTGAAAAAAGCTCGAGATTGGACAGTCGTGTTTCATAGGGTAGCGTATCCTGTCCACCTACGAGTTTGGTTGCCCGTCTTTGAACTTTCGCAAGGATGATGAGATCTTCAGAGGTTCAAATTTTCCACGCCTGAATAGCGAACTCTAGCTGTGGCCGTAAAAATGTCCGAAAGACTTTAACGAAACAGTCCTCATGGGAGGTAGATAAAGTTTTCTTGACAAGATAAAGGACTGAAATCGCGGACTTGGCTACCTTGGAGCAGTGGAGCCACGATTTTGGGGAGGCCGTTTCGCATACACCCAAGGCTTTCAGGGCGTTTACCTCCAGCAATTGTAGGCCATTTATGTGGTAAACTGCTTAACTAAACATTCAGTTTGTCAATGTTCGACGGCAACTTCCTCAATTGACTTTTTAAATTCACTGAATAATTTCATGTCATCAGGGAATATTAGAGCCGCCTTGACGAAAGCCATACCTGACATGAAGCATTCCTATCATCCTGAAATAACAGAATAAGCCGGGCTAGAGATATACCCCTGTCATGGTTAAGAGACAGGCGCCGATGGTGTTTCGGAAAGCGATTTGAATGCTGAGGCAACTGAAGCATTTCTAATTGTCTTGTATAGAAGATTTATATCATCACCCAAAGTGTACTCGTTTCCAGTTCATAGAAATAGTCTCAGATTTTGCCTCTCATCGAGCCCGTCTTTCTAAATAATTTGGACGACTTTCAGCTATTAAACATCGCCCCAGCAACTTCAAAAATGCTAGAGACACTGAAAACTGATGGGAAGATATGTCACTTAAGGGATAATAGCCTGACGATTGCGGCTGTGTACGGATTCTCGAGAAATCGATTCTGTGGCACCTGTCGGCTCCATCGTTTGCGGTATATTTTGCAATTTTGGGGTTGGTGGTTTGAGAAATTGCACAGGATGTTTTGGTTTTAGATGGGGTTTCACATTTTAACCATTCTCACGTATTCAATGTGTTCGGAATGAATAGATTTGCTGATAAATGTTTAGTAAAGTTTTGTGCAACGGTGCCACAAATGACACAATCTAATTTTTGGAAAAATGCTCACTTATGGTAGTCGGCGACGATCGTCGGACTCCAACGATGCGTGACAGTCACAAGATGAAAGCGTTAGATTTTATTATGGGCCTCAGTATATTATAAATCGAGAGTCTTCATATTTCAGAGAAGAACACTCTGATTATCAACAAAACGGTATGATCCATCGGATATATCAGCAATAGCCGTCAAACTATCGATAATGGAACCCGTATTTGTCAAATGGTCGACTGACCCGTCTCGGAATTTTATGCGCCTCTAACTTGTCTCAGGCGCACTGGTTGGCAAGAGAAAATAGGATCTGTCAAACACTTTCACAAAAGAGACGACATACGCCTACACCTGTTCCGATCCTGTTATATCACTTGGTGTTGTTGACTCACTTATCATTTTGATGCGCGAGATCTTTTTTAATACTGTTACAAGATTTGGTTCGTCAATGTAATTTACACGGAACATCCTAAAATTAATAAGCGAACTCTTGGATTTAATAACGAATTCATAAAAGTGAGGAACCTACTATTAGTGGTTCTGCACACAAAGTCATACTTGTCGTCTAAGAGTTCATTTCCTAACTCATTAATCTTAGATCAAACGTAACAATCCGACTCAGAACCAGTCATTTTAGAGTATTTTCGCGGGTTAAGTTACAAAAGTTATTTTTGTATTCAGTAGCTACTCGCTTGATAGTTATGCATTAAAGCCCCTGCGAATACGCGGGCATTACCAGTGAACCGTTCAATTCAATCTTAGCCGAGCCCATAGCTCAGAAACATCAGTAATTATTTTAATTAAAGCAACCTGCCAAATTCCCGTATAAACCAAAGAGTGATTGGTTGCTTCGAATCTGTTTGTAATTTACCCGTCCAATGTTATGAATAGTACAAACACTCCTCTTTTGACGTGTTGTTTTATTTAGTCAGCCACCAGTTAAGTCCCGTGAAAACATACAATATTCGATGCATATGACCCAAAACCATGACTAGAAGCACCCACATACCGCTGACATCATTGTTTGTCGTTGTGTGCGGATTAAGCTACAAGGAATAGAATAACAATTAGTAGTCATTGAAGCATGATACTGGCGTTATGGTAGGATCAAAAATTGGCATGAGCGGAAGAATAAATGTGACGTAATTGAAATAGCAAAGGAGCGAACGATACAAAATCGAGGACTAAGTTAAATGCAGTAAAATAGAAGACATAATCACGAGAAGAAGAAGATGAAGAAAAAGGAGAAGAGGCAATAGTCCGAAAAATAGTCGAACGATAAACGAAGCTTCCCATGTCTATGCGAAGAAATGATTGCCTAAAAGCTGTCACAAGCTTAACGCTATTTGGTTAAAATATTGTTTCGCCCTTATGGTTGCCAAAGCGCATTCAACCGGCCCATGTCACGAATACGATTGGATAGAGAAAAAGGTATGGATTTAAATGACAGATGAAACCGTCTAGCGAAATGCGCCGCCTGGGCACTTCAAATGACACTGTAGACATGCACATTCAATTTGACCACTCAAACGCGACGTTGAGTATTTCACAGCTACACAACAAGCTGTATAGTGACAACAGGCTGCCACGATATAAAACAAAGCACAGAGAGTCTGACATGAATACCAGGATCAACGAAGTCTAATAGGGGTAGGCCTAAGAGTGAAAGAACAACATAATAGTAAAAAATTTAAAGGAGAAAAGGGCAAGAACATAAAATGAAAGAGAAAGGTAAAGCACATGAGAAGATGAGCAGTAAGAAAATGCATAAAGAAAATGCAATGAGAGCCGAAGAAGCTGAAAAATTAATGACGATAAAGAAGAGTAATGCAAAGAAGAAGGTGCAAAAAGGAAAAGAGAAAACCCAAGCAAACAAAAAACAGCAACAAGCACGTGGTGTTAGTTAACAGTAAGAAGGCAGGAGGCGGAAGAGGAGAACTTACCTTCGTTGCCGCATGTCTCCTCACAAGTTGATAGGTCCGCACAATCGCTATCCTCGTCAGTGCAGGGTACACAAATCTGGGAATCTTCGTCGCATTTGAAGCCGCCTGTTTCTGGTTCGGGAGCTGGTGCTGTAGGTGTGGTTTCAAATGAAGAGCTGATGAGGGTTGAGTGGACAAAGGCAAAGAATTCCTGAATGAAGTATGCTACGTGAAATCAAGTCTATCAGTCACCGCCGCATCAGACAGCCTTCTGCGAGATAAGTTTACATTGGCCATTGCCGATTTCTGCACAGACATTCTCATGCAGACTACAGTTATTAGCCTATTCGCTGACACAGGCTATGCATGTATGTATGCATGTATTGCCTTTGAACCAGAGCGCACTTGTAGTCACTGCATCCTCTAGAAATTCAAGCCTTCGAGCTTCTATTCCTTAAAGACCTAATTCCGCTAATTCCACTTACCCTTACTCCGTTAAGTTAACTTCTATGCATTTATTCTGCTCTGCATCATGGTTGATTTGATTTTGATCTCTATATTCGGTCGTAATTGATACGTTATGCAATGCATACTAGTGCGCATTTCGAATTTCCTCCCATTTATGCATATGCGTCCTTTATGTGCAGTTGTTTCTATTTTTCTTGTTATATATCTGTGATTTTCTGTGAAAGTCTATCATATCTCTTCGGAATTTCCCCCTGCTTTTTGACGTCTTTTCCTTTGTCATAGCGCATATCTTTAACTTTTGGGATAAATCTTCTAAATAACCATTTGTCCGAGGCTTGTTTCACTTAATACAGGTTTTCTATTTATTTTGGCCTACAGTTAGTCCAATTTCTTTGATGGTATATCCAGTAGATGTGGCAACTCATGAAATGTCAACCAAAATTTCGAGATGCGTTCTCGTTTCGAAAAGATAAATTAAGTAGTGTTGTAAAATTAGTCATGATGTAGCATATATCTATAATGATGAAGTTACCTCAGGGTGTCGGCTTTCGATAGAACTTATTTTCGGCTGCATGCAAGCTCTATACTGTGCAAAAAATGACTACTTAATGAGTAAGCAATTTTCTCATTGATTTTCCATGCCCTTGAAAATTCAATTATATTTCATGAAAAACATGCATAAAAATATTCATTCTTTTACTTATTCGGTAGAAAATCACGTCTTTTTCCAATTTCATACCCAAAAGAAGAGTAAAATTCGGTTTTGTACAAACTTTTCTTATTCCCGTATAATTCTGAACCGACCTGCTGTTACACTTGCATTCAGGGTTTCAAAACTACAAGCTGTATATTTTCCGTGTACGGAAAATCATGCATTTCTCGACGGTGTTAAGAGGAGACCATATAAGGTTCATAATATTAAGCAGTGGATTTGAGCAATATTGATAACATTACAAGCGACATTCGATAATGCAGATACATGACGTTTTATGAACGACCATTTAAAAGTATTAAAAAATCTCGCAATTAGAAACTTCTTAAAACCGAATTATACTCATCTTTTAAGTATGAAATTGGAAGAAGACGTGATTTTCTGCCGAATATGTAAAAGAATGAATATGTTTAAGCATGTTTTCCATTAAATAAAATTGAATTTTCAAGGGCATCGAAAATCAATAAGAACAATGCGTACTCATTAAGTAGTCATTGTTTGCAGAGTATAGATCTTGCATGCAGCCGAAAATAAGTTTTTTCGACAGCCGACACCCTGAGGTAGCTGGATCATTATAGATTTATGCCGTATCATGATTAGTTTTACAACACTACTTACTTTACCTTTTCGAAACGAGAAAGCATTTCGAAATTTTGGTTGACATTTCATGATTTTGCACATCTACTGTCCATCAAATAGAAACTTCTCTGACATTTTGGGACTTGAGCGCCATTTCCGTGTTCTCTACCATATTCGATGATTAATTCCTGCCATCTCTGGATCATATTATGCGAGCACTTTATAATTCAGTCCAAGTTTTAAGGATACTATTCGCGCAGAGTTTTGTCCAACGCGCGTCAGTTCTTGTGAATATTCAAAACTGCTCGAACAATATTTTATCATTAGATGTACAATAAAGCAAGTTTACGAAAATACATATCATTATAAAAATAAAAAAAACGTTCTTTCAACCCTACCTTCGCCAATTCCACAGTTCTGGTAGCACTTCGTTAGTACCTGTTTCGGTTCCTTTTCTCCCGGTAGGGTAAAGAATATGGAATTAATGCATTCTTGTTGGTTGGGACTGCACACGTACATGTCCTTCACATATGTCTCGGTTACTGAATCAAAAAAAATGTTTTATCATTAAACGTGAAGAAGCAATATTCATTCAGCTAATGGCTAAACAAATACTTTACCTTTTCTAGCTACTTGGCAGTCCACATAACATTTCATGAATTTGTCAACGGTCCCTTCACTGTTTGCAAAACTGAAGCAATTTTTCTTCGGTTGCATGCAGATCTCCCCCGAAGCCGTTACTTTCCCATCGTCTAGGACGAAAAGGTTAAAAAATTATTAATAACATCGTCATAGAACTACACGGGTGCCACTGAATTAATGCTGCAGCGACAACAGGAGCCATTTATGTGCATTATGGGGTAGCATAGCGTTTCTTCGCAAATAAACCCTTCCACTTTACTTTCGATTAGTGTTATAATTGATGAAGTCAAACATCTCTCACTATTAATGCTGAAGTAGGTGATCGCATCGACGCACAATTATAATGAGTTTTGACGCTGGTTTAGAATGCAAATTAACCTTACCGTTGGTGAGTGCATGACATACTTCCAGGCATTTGGTCCATTCGAAGAAAGCATCGGTAGATGAGTGGATTTGATAAAATTTCAACGGAGAACATGGCTTAGAGTAATCGATGCAGGAGTACGCTCTACGCGACTTCGCCCCAGGCACTAAACAGCGGAAAATACTGCTAAGATTTTGCGAAATAAAAAGAGGTCTAAAAATGTTTCTAGAAAATAAGCCAACCGTTTTTGAAATCGCAGGCCTTCAAGCATTGACGATAGGATGAAAAGTTATCCTGCTTATCGAGGAAGCCCACACAACCGGAGTACTTTTTTTCGCAGACGCTGGTGTGTGCCTGTTGTCGAGAAGAACCTTTACAATGAGGAGAGAAGAGCAATTAAGAATTCAGAGATGAGCCTGAATGTACTGATTATAGTAACCACCTACAATACCGCAACATTAACGTATAAGGCAATGGGTCTGTAAGCAGGAGTAGCTGAATCTGACTACTTATGCAGAAGTCATATGTTTGACGGTACATCCTTTGTGTGAAATTTCTTTTTGTGCATATGTAATTGTTATGACTCGACTAAATAAAAAATGTGCGTACGAGGATGGCTGTATTTGTCGATCTCAATATGAGAAGTACTAAGATGGCGAAAATAATGTAGACTGAAACATATATCTGGTTATTTAGACAATCCACGTGTCCTTCCATATAACTGCCCAACTTATTTCTTCAAAAGCATCTAAACAAGGGTTTCTTGGCGAACGAACTTAGTATTTCTTCCAAGCAAATATATGTTTGGACCGCTGACTTATCTAAGCATTAAATTATAATGTTCTTTCGTTATTTGAAACCGATAATTTGGTTTGGGTGTTTCGTAATCGTTTTTAAAATTATAAACCTCTCAATGCTCCAAATAAACCATTATAACTTGCACTTTTCTGAGTATTATCGGCCCATGTTTCAAAAAATATCATTATATTGTTGCGCCTCGGCTGGTGGTTTTGCCTTTACGTCACATAACGTAGGTACAACCTTCAGGAAGTGCTAAATTTTTAGATAACTGAACAAACATATTGCCATCTCGGAGTCAGAATCTGAGCAAACGTCAACATCCTAGTTTACAATTATTAAATAAATAAAATAAATAAAAAACTAACCGAGGGAAGAAAATGTAACTGTTAGAGAAAAATTCATGATTACGCTACTGAGAATAATTTTGGGAATTTAAACTCATTGAAATATGCCGAAATGTCATAAGCAGAGACACAAGGATGCCTTCGGCTCTAAGTTCTTAAAACAGCACTTCGCAAAATCATTTATAACGTGGAGACAATTTCCCTGCCAAAATCTTTTGCATTGCAAAAACATAGCATGGGTAAAAGCGCGCAAAATGAAAATGACAGCAAGGATTAACTCGTACGATGTAAACATAATGGTAGCCTACCTAAGTTAAAAAGGACAATGGTCAACACCACAGTCAAGTAGGGCAACGCCATTGCGACTAGACGATATTTCGCAGTGAAAAATGCCACTTTATATACGAGTGCGATCATTACTTTTTTCCCCTTTTTTCGACTTGTTTTGCCTGCTAATCAACCTCAGTTTTTGAATATGCTTTTGTAGCAAGCGGAATAATCTTAAACTAAGCCTTTAGACTGAGAACGATATGGAGTGAGGGCTAGCAGGCATAGGTGGAAATGGAACATTTTCCTTAATTTAAAATGTCATAAAAGAACCTTTCTGACGTTGCAGGCTTCAGGATTACAAAAATACACACGTAACAGTCTACGAATTCTTAGAGAATAATAATTCCGTATTAAGATATTTGATGTATTCCGTTTCATTCCCAGCCATAATGTATCCGACTATTACGTACGGACTATATTTATATCGTGACATTATTCTTTAAGTAATTGGTATAAGTGTAATTTCTGATGAACCATTCTCATGATGACAATGCTCTACAAAGTGATTATCGTTCTTCATGTTGAATTTACACTTTTATAAAGTGCCGCACATACGTTTATCCAATTTGTTTTTAAAATAATTATGTATTCATCCTACATGAAACACTAATTGCATGGAGTGGAGACGGTTCTTTTATACTGAACACTATGAGTCACAATTTAGATATACAGAGGCTTTGATCCCTACCGACGCTCCTAGAGTGCTGCCTAATTTATCCGTTAGACAAGGTGAAATTGCTCCTACTTACTAATGGATGTATTGTACCATTTTCGGAAGATAGGCGGAATTTGTGAAAAAGTTTTATTTGAATTAATCACACAATTGTGATACTTGATTCCCACGCGTTTATATTCGACAAACTTCAGACTACACGCAATAACATTATCGTCTTCGTCAAATGCAAACATGCAATCTAGTAACCCTTTAAAACTAAAGTACACCAAATTTCTTTTATTCTACAGATATGCAAACCAAGGGGCTAAAGAAATTGGTAAAATATGCCAAAGCGCCAATTCATTAAGTGAACCGTGTAGACAGTTTCGTAGATTCTATCTTGATGTCTGAGGAAATCCTGCTTGGGCAGGAGGAGACATCATTGCTGCATCATGAACTTTATTCGCCCGAGGCTTTAGCTTCCTTCCCGAACCCATCATTAGAGACAAAAGCGGATACGAGTAGTTCGTACACCAGGATCAGGTCTATTTTTAGGGCACGGTCGCCATGACACCGCATGCCTATGAAAATTCATAATCCTGCATTTTATCTACCCAGTCACGATCTCTGACTTAATACAGTTTCGTAAAACATTACGTAACCAAGACGCTTCTTAGATGTACAGCCACACGCTGAGGATCAGGGAGATCCAGACTACTGTCATGCCAGATACGTCTACCTTATTTACTGGGACTCTTTCAACAAAGCAAACATTTTGATCTGATTCGAATTATGGCAGAGAGATAATTGACATCAAATGCCTAGTCTCCAATTCTGCTTCTCATTATTTAGCGGAGATATGGGCACATTAACACGACAGTTGACGTTCTTTCAATCACCTATTGGTTGACCTAATAACGCTGTTGTGCAATGTCAGCCTAGGTATATGAGTACTCGGCAGATTTTGTTCCCCACCCGGCAGAGCTCAACGTTTAACCTGAAAAAGTCGTTCAGCGCATTTGATTTTGACTGGGAATCTGACAGATGCGATTGTTAAAAGCTAACAGGGCAGAACAGATCATATGGAATAATTGCGTCCTTGCATCATCCGCCTTCATTGTCTCGGCTGTAAGGCTACTTCGGTTAAATGCACTGGATTGCAGTCCCAATAATGCGCTTCATCGGAAGTCGCGATGATCTGTGTCGCATTATAAATAATACCGCCTTTCAGCTGTATTATTCGGGCCTCGGTTTACTCTGCTGACGCGCCCTTTCCTAGATTCTAAATCTTATGTCCGGTTTCTCACAGATGACTCTTTTAGTACAATGTAACAATAGCGTTTTAACGATGCTTATTATTTTAAGGGAAACATGTTGAATAATTTGGAATTTTGAGGACCAGTATAGTTAAGCACATGAGAAAACGCGAAAACTTCGACAATCATTTTACCAAAAATCTAAACGACATATTCCTTTAAGTTTGCATGAGATAGTCCAGGAAACATAACGTGTCATGACATTGCCCAGCCGACAAAGCTCTGGTTGACTAAACGCACTGCTTCCACCTGTTCTGTGTGTTAAGTGTAACCAGGAGACCGGCAGAAGGGGAGAGGATTGTTGACACTGACAAGACTGTCAAACTCGTGTAAATAGAAGATGTAGCTGGGGCCCGTAAAATATCCAGAGACTTTATAATTGACATCTGTCATCTTCACAACCATCCCACGCCTGATCTCTCCAAGTCCGGAGTGACCGTTTGGTCTATCTAACAGCCGACTTACCTGCTATCCCAAAGTATTTAGTGATCGGCTCAATATATTTCTGGGTTGTCCGTTGCATTGTTACATACATGCAAACCAATTGGCAACATCGGAAAACACAGACCGAAACATGTTTCCCATTTAACATTTTATTGACTAGTTGAAATTCACCCAGGCACAAAAGTGTCAAATGAAGCACTAATTGTATGGAGTGGCGACGGAATTATTGAACTGAACGCTAAGAGTCACGCTTTGGATATCCAGATGCTTTGATCCCTACCGACTCTCCTAAATCGCTGCCTAATTTATTCTCTAGACAAGACGCAACTTCGCGTACACACTCATTACCGTATTGTACATGTTTTCAGAAAATAGGCGGAATCTGTGAAAAAGGTTTATTCGAATCAATCGCACAATTGTAATGCTTGAATCCCACTCGTTTATATTCGACAAACTTCATACTATACGCAGTAACATTAGCAGCACTATTTACATGATGCAGCCGTCATGCTACCGAGTACCTATTAAAATTCATGGGCCTGCATTTTTTAACCAATTCACAAGCTTTGACATAATACAGTTTTGTGAAACATCATATAACCAAAAAGTAATTGCTGATATTCAGACGCTTCATAGATATTCAGTCAGGCTCTGAGAATCAAGGAGATCTAGATAACTGTCATGCTAGACCATTATACCTTATGTACTGATGTTCATTCAACAAGGCATATATTTTGTTCTGTTTTACATGATGGCAGAAAAATCATATTCATCAAACAACAAATCTCCAATTCAGCATCTGATTATTTAGCGGAAAAATGGGCAGATTACCACTACGGTAGAGCTACTTTCAAACATGCATTAGTTGACCTCGTTACGTTGCAATGCAATGTCAGTCTATGTATATGAGTACTGGGCAGATTTCGTTCTCCACTCGGCAGAAGTCAACGTTAAACCTAAAGAAGTCTTTTAGCGAATTTGATGTTGACTGAGGATCCGACACATGTGATTGGTAAAAGCTAACAGGGCAGAACAGATCATATGCACTAATTGCATCATCCGCTTTCAGTGTCTCTGCTGTAAGGCTTCTTCGTTCAGATGCACTGGACGGCAGTCCAACAGATCGCCTCATCAGAAGTCGCGACGATCAGTGTCGCATTATAAATACTATCTGCTTCCAGCTGTATTATTCGGGCCCCGATTAACTCTGCTGACGTGCCCTTTCGTAGATTCTAAAGCTTTTGACCGGTTTCTCACAGATTACCCAGTTAGCCACATGAGAAAACGCGTAAACTTCGGTGATAATTTTACTAAAATGCTAAACGACATATTCCTTTACGTTTGCATGAGATAGCTCAGAAAACATAACGGATATACACGATCCAATAGGAAGGGCTGGCAAGGGGTTGAGTGGTGCCGGAGTCCCCTCTGTATTGAAGCCTTTTAGGCGTATTAATACGGCCTATTATTTCTCAAAAGCACCACTTATTCAACCCTCTTTAACACTGATAGCAGCCATTTCATCAGCAGTAACTAAATATTTACTGAAAATATCCATTTTCTCCCTCTGATCGTGGCCGTGGATGAGCTTAATATATTGCGGTTAAGTTTAAGTCGCCCATTGCGCAAAATCTAATTTGCCAACCAAACTGTGTGTGTTATTACTTTATACATTTGACAGTCGGCCGCGGATAATATCGTACGTTAACTAATGCTGTTTACATGCTCTTAATTTATGTATCTTTTGACATTTTTGGGGTAATTTCTCACCAGCCAGTTCAAGTAGTCGACTTGTATGTCAATAAGTGTGCTATGTAGCCTTAGTGTCCGTAGTCCACTTATGCAAATTGTTTATCGTATTTTACTAAATATCCAAAACCCTAATGGAGCTCAAGTACTCTAGCTATCACCGAAGCATCATATGGAAACGCATTAAAAGCCACATGAAGGCATGCTATAAGGGCAATAAAGAGCTTGATTCTGAGGTTCCCTCAACGCCGACGGGAGTTGGCAATCAATCCGCCGAACGAGAAATGCCTATATTGCGCTCTGAAATCTCTGCCTGTATGTATTATACTTATGTAAACGAAGAATGCGTGTAGAATCCGTGAAAGTCATTGACGGCACAAACGCAGTTGAGGGCAAGTCCTCTCCGAGGGCCCTGCATGATTTCACCCACGAAGCGCAAATGCCTTTGTCTAATACGAAGGAGTTATTTAATATGTTGCGTTCTTTCCATGGCATAACATACGATACAGTTCACGTGCATACTGACACTGATATTCAATGTGATTGCACATCTTTCTTCTTAGTTACTACTCGATTACTTTTGGGTCACTTACATAGTTACGTTTTGTTTCTACAATAAATAACTCAGTTACATGTATTCGCGTCGCCTGTTTTGTGTCCGATTTTGGGTTCTGATTAGAGGGGTCATTGTGAGTACTATGTAATACCGTAGTAATTTAGGCACGTCAGGTGTGTTTGGACGTGCAACATGTGGGAACGGTGAGGCACTACGCCTCAGGGGACTCCTCATAAAGGTCGGTATTTTAAGGAGGTGCCAAAAGTGGGCGAAAAGGTGGCGTGCCTTGCGCATTTTTCTTGTCGATGTGGCCAGGCTGGGCTTTCGCGTAGAATGGCCAGTCATACCCCCATTATGGCCTCCTTAAGCCCCTCCATATTTGAGGAGATTAAGCTGGACTATGCGGGACTGGTGCTGGCTGGGCTATATACAATGCCAACACAAGAAGATAAAGGGATCTGCAGAGGGATTTCGAATATCGATCGTATTAGTGCTACTGATCGTATGCAGGATTCGCCCGGACTGTGTCGCTGCCAACTTGAAAGTTAATAGAAATTTAAACCTGCTGGAACGCCTGGCTCAACCGTAGGCGTTCCTTGCTTGTTTTCCTCGATAATAGACCACAAAGATCTTTTCAATGGCGTGTTTCGTGACTAAGGTCGTGACATGGTCGGTTAAATGACCTGTCTATAATAGCTTCCTGCGTAGCCAGGACATTCGTGCAGGGTGAAGCCTTTCGAAATTGAGCCCAGCAGAATGGACGACGCATTCGCTCTGAAAGTAAAGTAAATTTTATTTCCCCAACTAAGAGGTTATTAGTTAATTCCTTCCATGCATCACCGCATATATGATTTTGTGCGTAACGCGTGAGGTAATTTCAAGGACGTAAGCGAAAAATAAAAGGCGATTTCGGCGGACAAGATTGAATTTCACCTAGGCATTCGACGCCTCTCGAGCCCATTTTGAATGAATGGAATTCGGAGTCATTCATCCCTATGGCAATAATCCCGATTCTCGTATAACACTAAATGAAAGTCGAGGTTAAGAACGCCCAATAGATTTACATATATCATTGTCTTCACTAGAAGGAGTGGTAGAGGAATGGAGACCATTACATGCTGAAAGATGGCTGAACCAAACAAATCGCTGTACAGCAACAAGAGCACCTATTGTGGGACAGCAGTAAAAACGCACTGCAATGAGCCAGAGGGAGGAGTCCGAGAACTACGGCATCTTCGGGACCAACTGGCAAGTAATGAAAATCCGACCAGTTTCGTCAGCTGCTGCCTCCGCACACACCCACGGCGAACAAACGGAGGAGATTAGGTTAGCAAAAGTAAGAGATCCGTGTGAGATCCGGTGAGCAATTCAGTTTCCTTAAACGGACGAGAGCCACCAACACGCTGGTTCCCTCTATCATCTATGAAGAGTTTGCTGTTGGCATACAGATTTCAATTACAAAACACCGATGGGGTGTTGAGGTTGTCCATTGTTTTTCCCACTTTGTTCCCGCATATCCACAGGTTGGTGTCCGTGTACTTCGAGAGATCTTCAAGAAGATACGTTACACGGCGTTTTTGTTTCAACTACTTAAAACAAAATACACTTATATGTTAGTATGATGGACACCATTTCCCACGAGGATGCAATATCGAGGCGTTTTATTTAACTTTTTGTCACATTTGCCTATCTAAAACTTATTCCTTTTGTAAGGTATAACATCCAACAAATAAATGTCATGAAACACTGACGAGAACCTTACTGACACTACCTGTTTTTTTGATTTAAGCAGAACATTCACCCCTACGATTAAGTTTTCGTTGTTGAAATTTTACACATTCATTTGCAAGGCGAAAGTACAAATTTAAGATTGTTATTAACAAAGTATTAAACGATTCCCAGGGCGAAGTTAACACATTTTATTCTTTGTCTGGTCTCATTTAAGCAAAACAGTTTTTTTTCGAATGTGTTTGCCTAAAAAGAGAAGGGGTTGTAAGCGTTCACGTTCATACAAAAACTAGGTTTTGAAGGAAATATGACATGGGCGTTGCCTGTAAGGCAGACGAAATCTGTCAGTGTACGGTTCGATGTGGGCAGTCGATATTGTCTATTGAGAAAAACAAAATGGTCTGCAGACTTTTTCATAAAGTGCACCCCGCCGTCATAACACTTGCATATTGCTCACGTAGAGGAATAAACTTCAAGTAGGAAATGAACCGATACAGGTTAATTTCAAGAGACCACTCATACCGCATTATTTCAACATGATCCGCCTACTAGCTTATTATAAAAAGAGTTTTGGAAATTAACTTACTATCACACTGCATTTAAGGTCCTGAACAAACTAGTCTGTGTTCGGCCGTCGACGTTTTGAGGTCATAAATGATAATGTGAGAGGCATACATGATATTCGTGGTCGTTGAAGGATATAGCGGTTTTACTAGCACATAGAGAGTCAACTAATTTTGCATAGAGAAACTTATTGAAATGATTCAAAAAATCGTTCAATAATATTGACGAATATTCTCCCTGAATTTGTGTTTAGGAGGAAGGAAAATAACTGCCTTCAAAAAGCCCATATTTTGGCACTGCAAGATGACGATATATTTAGAATCGTCAGAAATAATGTGCTGCAGAATTCCTATAATATTTCTAACGCAATCGTCTCACATGCATTTCACGAGGCAAGAAAAAGAAACAGCAGCACCAACTGTCCTTTCATGATGCAGTTGTTAGGCAAAATCTCTATTGAGAATCAAACGCAGTTTTCAACGGGGGAGCAACGAAAACAAACACTTTCCCAGATTTAATAACAAGTATCGGGTTGCACACAAGTGATGCTGTGTGAAAACATTTGAAACGTATCGACACTCAATGCAGCAACGCCAAAGTAGAAACACAAGAAGTCTAACATCGCGACCAGTGCAGACGGATTAGCTATCAAAGGACGTTTTTAAGCCACTGCTTACGTGTTTGTAAAACGCCCAAAGCAAGAGGAACAGAGAGTCAAGTGAACCCTAAGCTTCGGATGAGAACACAATTGTTGAATAGCTAATGTCCCCTTAACTTGTCGTTATTTATCTTGCTATCCTCACCTCTGACGGATATTGTCTTATTAAAATCGCTGACAATGCCATTTCGCCCCAAAGTGCCACAAGAAATCTCCTCCCCGTCGGCGCCGAAGCATTCCGAATTATGCCATGCAGCCTCCTATCAAGCCACAATTCACTTATTCGATGGTGTGTACCTTCCGTGCATCAGCTTGCCTGAAAATAATTGCGGTTTTCCTGATAGTGGAGGTGAGTGGGCGGAGGAATCTGACCATGACCATGAGCGAAAGTACGTAAGGCAAATGCAGTCATTAAATATCTGAAGAGTATGGCATAATCTCTCTAACAAAGCCTTATTAAAATCTTCCAATCGAAATTAATAGAACAACCGGTCTGAATGCTGCTCATCTCCACATCAATATGACCCCATGGGGCTATTCTATATGTGCCGCCATATCTGACCATAACTTCGCATAAGTTGTATTGTTAACTATAAATAGTTCTTAATATGCTGAGACACTGGTCAGGATATATTTGAATGCTGACTTAACTGTAGCCAATTAGCTGGTCCTAATCTATTTAGTCAGGCCTTGTTACTGAAAACTTGGAAATCAATACTTTGTTCACAGGAAAAAGCAGCATCTGTCTCTTTACCAAACGCTACCTCCACTTCAAAAGTTTTACAGATATTGCCAATTTCTTTGTCTGTCGTTAACAGTAACTCTGGAACGGGATCAGCGCGAAATATTCAGCGGCGACTTATTCACAGATAGATCCAATCATTTAAATGAGTTAAAGTTTTTATCATCAATTCCGTTTTTACAAAAGGCATTCTTTTCCCTTAATATAGGTCTAGGTTCTTGAAACATATCATAGGTCTGATTGCCAGTCATGAAGTGATTTTCATTTTTGCGACGGCGGAACCAGCATTGCTGAAACAAGAGGTTTGCTCGCCTGACGTTTCGGATTACGGCTCGAACCCACAATCAGAGAAAATAGCAGGTACGGGTAGAGCATGCACAAAGACCTGCAGTTTTTAGAGGATGCAGTCGCCATGCAACCACACAGCTATGACAATTCACGATTCCCGCTTCATCAGGTGCTGTTGCACGTGATGTGATGATTGTTTGATGGCTGACACGCCAGTCATTGATCCTTGCAATTTCATCACGGATGTTGGGTTATGGTGTGATGATTTCTCTTCCATCTGACCCGCCCATCCTGGCGTCGAGAACAGCCTTCGCCCGTGTGTCTTCACCATGGTTAATTCCGCTGCCTTGTCGAAGTCTCAGCATTAGATATAGAAGAGAATATGGAATACACAGAGCGAGATAGTAAACCATGGCTCAAGCAGTTGGTGGCTCACGCGATTGTCATGTCCAGCGAGAATTTTGGGCCCATGGAATTTGAACGGGCCATCAAATCTCATCGAATGTGCTGTAAACTGAGAGCTGGTGTCATTTCTCCGCGCTGCTGCCGCGTGTTCGGCCATTCGCGTTCAGAACAATCTGCCTACTTCTCCGACGTAGTTGCTTTGTCCATAACTGGTGAGTTATGCTTCAATGTCCACATTAAACCTCAACAGGTAAAGGTGGATCTCTGATATGTACTTTTTATTGCCAATACAGTGATATGCTAGAAATATCGTTCATCTTTTCGCCTGGCAGTGGTCCTATGAGACTGAATTAGTTAGGAAAATACAACGATAAATGTTTCAACCGGGGAACATTTCATATCCTTAAGGACAGTGAAACTGATCAAATGTAGTCTGCTCGTGATGTCAAGTAATAAGCTGCATCACTATAAATGAGACCTAAACAAAACACTATAAGACGGAAAACATTTATTTGACCCTGATTATTTGAGATCTGGTGCTAGAAGAGAGGGCGAATTTGCATGACCGTCTTTTTCTTACTCGAGAGACAAATGAGATTGGTTCGTTTAGATGAATGGAATTTTCTCGGATCTATTGGCCCCGTTTATTGGCCGTAAAATAGACCAGCACATCTTCATGAATCGCTGTTGTGACATGTTTACAGGGTGTATTATGCATGAGGGTTGCAGGGGGCATGGAATACCACTGCACAGCCTCAGAAGCAAATTTGGACAACAAATGGCACGCAGTAAGAATTTGGATTCGCGTGGAGTGTCCATAATGTGGAAAAAAACCAAATATTATTTTACAAACAAACCAAAATGCTGCTGAACAGTCTGAAATGTTGCAGCCAAAATATATCGGCTACAAGAGATAAGTTTAAAAAGAAGAAATGACGATCAGATGTGTTTAGACGACTTTACCTCAGATGGATCCTTTGGTAAATTGGGGAGTATTGATCTCTAAAATCACGGCGAAAGAATGGTGCAACCACGGTGCAAATAAACGAATATTAGGTACAGCTATAAAAATGAAAGATTGTTCCGAATGCCTAAATATTAATGTCTCTGGAATCAATAAGAATATCCACAGAGATTAGGCGAAGATCTAGAAGTGCCAGTTTGAATTATTAGCAAAGGCTTGAGGTCTTTCGACCCTGACAACTGCGCCACAGCAGAAATCAGGCGATCGCGGCTCATGAGCATCCGACAAATGCACACAAGCAAACGCTGTTGTGGTCAGTCATATTCACCCAATTAATCCAAAAGCCTGATGTCAACGGACTTACAGGTGAACTTTATCTATTTACGTCCACGTCAGGATGGTAAATGTAATTCTACTGTCCCATCGCCTGTCTTAAGTTAGGGTTAAACAACTTTGCTGAGCACACGTCATGTAATCTCGCCCTATTCAGTTTCCGAGTGAATGAGTTCGCGAAGCTGAAGTTAAATCTTACGGAGCTGAATTTTTAAGACTCAGTCTTAAATCTGGTATGAATATCTCAGCTGAAATTCATCAGCAACTGGTGAATAACCGCGCAATATTCACAAGCTACCGACAGGCAGTCAGTAGTATACAACTAGGTAATTATTTGCCATACTGGCAGCACAATCACTGGCTAAAAATCCGTTCAGCGAAGACATGGAGAAATCTACAATGCCTAAAGTAGACCATGTAGCCAAACATGAGGCATGATAATGGGAATCTGGACCATTTTTTAGTGTACTTAAACCGTAAACACTCTCAACAACTTAGCTCTTTTACACTGAGCCGTGTATCTTGCTTGCTTTAGTATGAGAGCGTGGTTATCTAAACCAAAGTGTTCTACTTGTTCCGTTTAAAAATTGATCAATTGTTCCGTAAATCGGATTCTGATGGAGGCAAAAATCCCGGTACTTTAAAAAAACCAGGATGTTTCGTCGACTTTAAAGGCTGATTTGCAGACATGTATGTATGATATAATGCTCCGAAACGCAACAATAAAGTCTATGTAAGTTCATTATTTAATCGTACCGATAATTTCCTGCTAACTGCGAATACTTTATAATTAACCGTTAAATAGCACATCATCAAATGGTCATCGTTACAATTGTAACTTCGGCAAAAAGCGAAATGTGGCCCAGTTCCTGCTGATACATAATATGGGAATGGAACGACCAGAGTAATTGCAGTTTGAATAATATGCAATTTTTGCATGGTCACTCTTCTATACGTCTGTAATTGTAGAGCGAATGTAGTAAAAATGTGCTGAGTATATAGGGATAGTGAGTTCTATCGTTCATATCAGCAAAGTTTGGATAGGTCCACAATTTTGATCCAAATGGACACCAGCGTAAATAGCTCACTCCTTAAATAATGCCTTCAAGAGTTATCTTATTTTAATTTATGAAAAGCGTACAGGCAAAACGCATATTTATGGGCAGTCAACTGAAACACCATAAACTGCAAATTATTTGAAGCATTTAATGGATATTCTTGTATGAAACAATACACGGCTTCACCGAATACGACAGGAAAACTTTACGGCAGAACATTCCTCGTAATACGCTCAAAATTGTAGACTTACTATTACAAATGCCAATGTAATGCAAATTTATTCGTCATCAACTGACTTCTCAAAGATGACCTTATGAAACTAGCTTTCGTGAAGTCGCAATCGTTGAACCCGTGTGAAATTCTTTTTGTCCTTATCAAATTGCTTAAGATGGCCTGGTAACGGATCAAAATACAACTAAAGAAAAGCGGCTTCGGAGTTTACGCCAAACGTGTTGGTCGTTGGCTAAACGCCACAATAGAAATTGTACGTTTCAATACCGAACTATTTTTCAATGTAAACCCGCTTTCGCTGTATTATTTTTTCAGTGATTTTTACGAGCAGGACTTATGTGCTTTTTAAACGTTCGTTTTCTTATTGAACACAGTTTAGGTGTTTTGAAAATGCCAAATTTAATAAAAAATTTTCTTTCTAAAGTACGCAGCATTACTTTATCTATCTCATTTGTGCTTTTGTTTCAGTTTAACTCGTTTGTCATTATCGGATAGTCTTAGTCGTATATCTGGTATTCTTCGGTGTACAAAGCGAATGTATCCAAACCCCTTATAGTTTAGAAAATATAGCTGGCAAACATCCCTGGGTAATAGTTTAGGAGGGCTGAAGTGACCTAAATATTGGCACTCGGTGAAAACCAATTGTTCTATCCGCTGAAGTACTACTCCAGCGATTAGGCTTGATTGAAGGAAACCCATAGGAGTTCCATTCATATGTTCGTACATCTGTCCACTAAAGGTGAAATAGGTCTCGAGACATTATCGAAGTAGTTCGAACAGGTGTTCACACATCAGGGGGTTGTCCCTCTCCTCATAACGCCCTGCCAGTGGTTGATCCACAACGTATATCACTAGTTGGTGTGAAATATAGGTGAAGAGCGAAACGACATCAAAGGATCCCAAGGATTCCTCTGGCTTACTGTATTGTGGTACGTATATTCGAGAATCTGGAAATAACGCCTACATATGTAATGAGCGCCCCCGCCGCAGGCCCGAAGGACCCAGAAATTAAACGAGGAGATCATTTTACCGGATATGCGCTAAGACATAATGCGGTCATAGAGGACGGTTATCCCAGGCGAATATATCGGCACGATCACCCACCTTATTGGATTTTAGACCTATTTGCATCTGCTCTTTGCCGTTTCAACGATCATTACTGAAGGTAACATAAAAAGCTCCGACCGGATAAAGCCAGAGGTCCATTTTCGAGGTCGGAAAGTAGTGGAATGCACACTGATTCGAGTTAATGATGGTATTAAAATTGGAGGTTTATAGCTGATTATCGTACAGAAAAGGGGCTATGCTCCTACTAAGTCTGTTATGACGTAAAATCACGAGCCCAAAGGCCAAAAAGTACACAGTCTTCATGCAAATGCGTTATCTACCCAGACCAAGTTTCAATTACCGTCGGTAAAAGCAGTACGTCGTATTGGGGGGTAATCAGATACTATTGAGCGTAACGTCTGACTCTGCATTTTGACCATCCACTGCGCGTTCGCCTGCAACGATGTTGGATTGGCAAAAAGTATAATGGTTCAGTCATGATTCTCAAGGTTCATAAACCTAGGAACGACTATCCCAAAAGAAACTAGGAAAATAGTTCAATTGTAGGGTGTTAAAATGTCACTTGATAACGGACATCGGTGGCCTGATATCTTGATTCAGATATCTATGAAATGAGGTCAATAAATGATCCACACCGTTTGCCTGCCAAGGAAACGCGTGTATTACAGACTCTGAGAGTATTTCGAAGGCAATTTTTTAAATAAACAGCCATGAGAGATTTAACTAGCAAGTCAAGCTTGGTGTTTAGTAAAACATGCACAAATCAAAAATTCACAAAGATTTGTTAAACGACTGAATGCGTTCTGAATGTCTGGAAGCGTCGAAAAGAAGGTCCTGTATCACAGGACATCAGAAAGCATGAATTATGTGAATGCAAATCATATCCGACCAAAAGATGTCCCTTTGTCAAACCAGATGCAAGCAATTGGTGAATGTCTTCATAAATGTATGTGTCGGTGTCTTAATTAAAAATTTGCTACGATGGCCCATACTGCGGTATGATCTATTACCGCGGTACTCGCGAACTGCATAAAATGCCACAAATATGATCTCGTTTAGAATCAAATTTAGCAGGATGAGAAATGTTTTTTGGCCCTTAATCCTACCAGGTTTTGTGATTTCTGGAGTTCACTGAATATTGTCATGTCATATTGGAACATTAAAGCCCCCTTGACGAAAGCCAAGCCTGACATGAAGCATTCCTATCATTCTGGAATTACAGAATAATCAGGCCTAGAATATATGTCTGCTTTGGTTAGGAGATAGGCGCAGACGATGTTTCGGAGAGCGATCGGGATGCAGACACAACTGGAAATTTCTCAAAATCTTGTATAGAAGTTTATATCGCTATCTAAAGCTCACTCGTTTTCGGGTCATAGAAATAGTCTCAGATTTTGCCGCTCATCTAGCCCGGTCCTTCTAAAGCATTTTGACAACTTTCAGCTACTAAACATGGCCTCAGTAGCATCAAAAGTGCTAGAAGCCGTTTCGCATACACCCAAGGCTTTCTGGGCGTCTACAACCCGCTGACGACTCCCAGTGTCTGTCATCTGCATAAGTAAATATATTCAAAAATTGGCGAAGGCCAATGCGTGCCACGAACACCTACAAAGGTATTTACACAGCAGGTCTTTTGAGTTGGCTACCGAAACACTTTACATCATATGTGGCATTGCGCTCAGGGAGTGGTTATAGTTCTCCACTATTAAAACCCCTTGACTGTTTTCATGGAGATGTATGGTCCATTGCTTTACCGGACTAGTTACGTGTTTCTTTCAAATATAGGGGCATTCAGCAAATTTTAGGATATTACCCACTTTTCCACTGATTACTTTTTTCACTGCGCGTGATCAATTGTACACCTACTCAATAAATTAAAAGAAACATCCGACACATTTATAATCTTTTAGTTTCCTTTATGATTTACAACATATCTTTTTTGCCTTGAACAGGCCGCAACAGCAAAAGCCCTCTTACCACATTTCCTTTATTATAAGTGTGCATTGACATTAGGGCTGGACTGGATTATTAATAAACTATAATGTCTAAATCCAGACAGATATCATGAGACTCATGAGAATGAAGAGATCGGCCAACTCCTTAACTCAAGCATATGTTACTTGGTTTATTTAGCTTGCACTTGTCAACCATGCACCAGATATATTTCAGAATGGTAAGCCCATCATGTATGCTGACGATCTAGAATTTGCATAGAGGTATAAGCCGGCCGACCGTGACATCGTGCGTTCTCTACAGTAGGGCGGGCTAGATTTTTGGTGTCTCTCTTCCGTTTATCCGTCGTGTGTGCGTGCGTATGTGGTGATTGATGAAACTATTTGGATAGCCGTTCTTTGTTAATTGGCCCCGGAGATGCCGAAGTTCTTGCATCCTTCCTTCGGGCGCGGTCCAGACACTCGGTAACTGATTCGACGAGTAATGTCGCACACTCCGCCTGTCTTTATTCTATGACAGTTCGGTATTAGCGCAAGCGTAAGTGGCAGTCATTGATCAGCAGGCTTATTTGTCGACCCGACCAAATCATGGTATCCTTCGAAGTTGCCTGGCTTTTCATGTTCATCCCACCAGACATGGCGCGCGACATGCTGCGTAAACGCCTCGAAGAAAAGTACCACGAAACGACAGGACCCTTAAAGATCCAGCACCTAATGCAGCTCTTTGCATTATGCCAACGAACCTTCTTAACCTTCGATGACAGAACATACGAACGAATCGAAAGAACACCCATGGGTTCCCCAATATCCAGTCCAGTTGCGGAATGGGTCCTAGAAGAGCTGGAAAAGTTTGCCATCAGCCACTGCAAACTTGCGTTTTTGCGCTGATACGTGGACGACACAGTTGTCATAATTGAAAAGGACAGTCTATCGGGTTTTCAAGACTTTCTTAACAGAATCTTCCCGACATTCAATTTACAAAAGAAAACGAGGAGGATGAGAACCTACCCTTCGTTGATGTGCTCATCACGCGCACACCTGATGGTAAACTCAGCACTACAGTGTACAGAAAGGCGACCAATACAACCCAGGTCTACCTTGCCTTTGTCGGCAATGTCAAACAACCCAGGTCCTAAACTATCATAGCAACCACCCATTGGTGCACAAACGGCGCTGTGTGAGGGCACTTTTCGACCACGTAAAAACGCACATTAGCGAGTTTTCAGGAAGGATGGAAGAACAACGGCATCTCCGGGACCAATAAACAAAGAATGGCTATCCGAATAGCTTCATAAATCGCTGCATGCGCACGCACCCACTACGATCAAAAGGAAGAGAATCACCAAAATAGAGTACGTTTTCACTCACATAATCTAAAATGATCAGAAATAAGGGCAAGTAATATTTAGAGGTGGAGCTTTCACTATTGAGACATATTAAAAGTGCTTGTTAGGAAGCGCAATTGAGCGAATCTGATGAGGATTATAAAGTCGCCGAAGAGTTATGCGTCACGACACACTCTAAACTTAATGTCCACGCATCGCAATCTCATGTCAACAGCCCGTTGCATGAAATGGCAACAGTTGTCTATTTTTTATCTCTGTTGTTAAGTATATGGTGCATTTCTGCGTGCAAAATAATTTAAAAGTTATTTTTCAAATCCAATTTGCGGTCGGCGATAGCGTGTAGAAAGTATGTGGACCGTGAGCTTCGTTTTTATTTAGTCGCGCCCGAACAGCATGTATGTATTTTATGTAATTGCGATTTGGAGAGCTACAGGCAGAACCTTCGGATTAAAACTACAAACATTTAGAATTTGGTCACTTCACAAAACATACATACATACAGGCATAAGCCGGCAGATCGCGACATCGTGCTTGAGCTCCTAAAGAGCGGCCTACAGGACTTTGCCCAGTGGTGTTGCACATGGCGCCTTTCTCTTTCTGGTACTACATGCTCAGTCAATGTGGTTGGCGACGGCCGTCAACCTCATCTAAGTACTGACGGCCACGACATAAATGTGTATGGGGTTATTAAGGATCTAGGTGTATCATGCTCCAAGAGTCTCAATCTTTCCGACCACTGCACCCCGATAGTCTCCAAAGCATCTATTACGACCGGGTTCATCCTTCAAAACTTTAAAACCTGCGATATTAAAGTGTGCATTTATAAAATGTACGTTAGAACTGGGCTCGAATATTGTTCGATTTTATTTAGCCTAATGTGCGTTACTGATCAAAAGATAATAGACTCCGTCAATCACTTTTTTACCGACAATGTTTTAACCCTGGAACACCGAAATGTGTCTTAATAAGAACGTTGCCGGCCAAAAGGCCTTGATAGTTTATGGTTTTATAAATTACAAAAGGAGCTATTTTTACTACTGAAGATTTTATATAATTGTACCTTTAACCCACTCACTGCTTTAAGACATCATGTCAACCCCCACGTAATAGTCACTGTGAGGCATTTTTATTTCTTCCTCTGGCGCATACCATTAAGTATCGTCCGTTCGTTTCTGTGAATGAAAGTGCTATCTGGAATAAACTACCCATGAGTGTGAAAACTCAGCAAAATTATCCTTTATTTAAGAGAACTATTAGTCGATTGTTGCATTTAGAAAAGCTCCCACAAATTTTGGGCGTTGAATCCACTGATCGACTTTACCGTAGCGATGAGGTTTGTGGTCTCTGATCTCTATGGCGTGTCTCACCAGAGACACCTTCCTTAGTCAACGGCGGCAAACTTCCTTCGGCGCTTCTGTTTGGACTAGCACCAACTTCATGAAAGCGATTAGCGAATGATAATATCCGATACGGTGCAACCCCTCCCTTCTTACATGTGGGTGTTTTGTGATCAGCAGCGTTTTCTTCTCCTGAACCCGACAAACTATATAAAAACCACCATCAACTATATTTTTATTTCGTTTGACAGGAGCTTTTTTTCACTGCCTGTAAGCTGGTATTATTATTTATTAGAAAGTTCTCCTGACTCGGTTCATTTTTAAACTTGGCATATACTAATGCACTTATGAGACATTGCGATGGAAAATGTGCTTCCTTTCTCGCAGATAGCGTATGCATAGAGTATGTTCCCACTCACGCAATCTAAAATAATTAGAAATAAGGGCAAGTAATATTTAGAAGTAGATCTTTCACCACGGAGACATTTTCATAGGATTTGATAAGAAGCGCACTCAAGAAAATTTGTTGAGGATGTTAGAGTCCCAGAAGAGTTATGCGTCGCAAAACTGTCTTTAAATGTGATACTCACGAATCAAAATCTGATATCAACCGCTCATTGAATGAAATGGCAAAAATTGTCTAATTATCATCTCAGTATTCAAATACATGGTGCACTTCTGAGTGCACTATAGTTTTACGATTATTCTTCGAATCCAATCTCCGGTTGGCGATGGCGTGTAGAATGTATAGGGACCGTTTTATGAGGATGTTAAAGTCGCAGAAAAGTTATGCGTCGTAAAACTCTACCTTACTTGATATCCACGAATCAAAATCTCATGTCCACAGCACATTGAATGAAATGGCAAAAATTGTCTTATTGTCATCTCAGTTTTCAACACTATGGTGGATTTCTGAGTGCAATATAGTTTTAAGATTATTCTTTTATAAAGTTTCCGGTCCGCAAAAGCGCGTAGAAGGTATAGGGACCGTTAGGTTCGTTTTTATTTAGTTGCGTCCGAACAGCATGCATGTATTGTATGCAATTGCAATTTGGCGAGTAACATATAAAACTCTTGGATTCAAAATGGAAACAATTAGAATGTGGTCGCTTCACAATGCAAAACGATTTAAATAATAAATGTTGCTGTTTACTGTCTGTGATTCAGAAGGAAATGATTGTGGAGCACAAAGTGTTTTACAAAGAAGATTTTGGGTAGCCGTGTTGTGAAAGACGATCTCCGTAGAAAGTTGGCTGGTCACGTTTTCTTTTAGAAAAAAGTGGTACCCGCCGTCATCACGAAGCATCGTAGCCAGTTCTGTGGTAAGAGTAGCCATCAGCTGAAGAAATTCCCTTCGAGTTCTTGTGCAGTACTTTGGCTTAAGACTTTTTACGGATGGTCGTGTGGTTGATTTTAGCAAGCAATGGTGCAGTGGTGCAATGTGCAATGGTGCCACAAATGACACCTTGTAATTTTTTAAAAAATCCTTTTTATGGTAGTCGGCGACGATCGACGTTTTTCATCGATTTTTGACGGTCACAAGATGAAATTGTTAGGTGTTATTATGGTCGTCGGTATATCAAAACTCAAGGGTCTTCATATTTCAGAGAAGAGCACTCTGATTATCGATTAAGCAATGTGATTCATCGGATAAATCATCAGTTATCTTTAAACTATCGATATTTAAACCCGTGCGTGTCAAATGGCCGGCTGATTTCTCCCAGAATTTAATTCGCTTGTATCTAGTCTGCGGCGCCCTGTTTAGCAAGAGAAAATAGAATCTGTCAAACACTCTCATAAAGGAGACATCATAAGCCGACACCTGTTCCGTCCTGTTATATCACTTGGTGTTGATGGCTCACTAATCACTTTGACGTGCAGGATTTATTTTTAATGCCGCTCAAGAACGTCCAAGATTGGGTTCGTCAAGGTAACTAGCACGGGACATCCTAAAATTAACAAGCGCACTCTTCGTTTTAACAACAAATCTACACAGGCTACGAACCTACTGTTAGTGGTTCTGCAATAAATGCATGCTTATCGTCTTAGTGTTTCCTTCCTCTCTCAATAATCTTAGGTTAAACGTAATATCCCGACTCAAAATTAGTCATTTGAGAGTATTTTCATGGGTTGAGTCACATAAGCTGTTTTTGTATCGGGTGGCAACTCGCTTGAGACGCATGCATTAAAGCCCCTGTGAATACGCGGGCATCTCGAGTGAACCGTTAAATTGAATCTCAGCCCTAGTCCATAGCTCAGAAACATCAGTAGTTATTTTAAGTAAAGCAACCTGCCAAATTCTCAGATAAACCAAAGAGTGATTGGTTTCTTCGACTCTGTTTGCAATTTACCCAACCGATCTTATGAATAATACAAACACTCCTCTTTTGACTTGCTGTTTTATTTAGGCAGCCACCAGTTAAGACCCGTGGAAACATACAATTTTCGACACATAACACCCAAAACCATGGCTTTAAGCACCCACGTACCACTGACATCATCGTTTGTCATTGTGTTCGGATTAAGCTACAAGGAATAGAATAACAATTTGTAGTCATTGAAGCATGATACTGGCGATATAGAAAGATCAAACATTGGCACGAGGGGAAGAATAAATGTGACGTAGTTAGAATCGGAAAGGAACGGATGGGAGAAAATCGAGGAATAAGTTAAATGCAGTAACATAGAAGACATAGTCACGAGAAGAAGATGATGATAATGAAGAAGAAGAAGAAGAAAAAGGGGAAGAGGCACCAGTCCAAAAAATAATCGAACGATAAATGAAGCTTCCAATGTCAATGGGAAGAAAGGATTGCCTAAAAGCTGTCACAAGCTCAACGCTATTTGGTTAAAATATTGTTTCGCCCTTATGGTTGCCAATCGCATTCAAACGGCCCATGGCAACAATTGGATTGCATGGTAAAATAAATATGCACTTAAATGACAGACGGAACCGTCTAACGAAATGCCTCGCCTGGGCATTTCAAATGACACTGTAAACATGGATGTTCAATTTGACCACTTAAACTTTAATACGCGACTTTGAGCATTTCACTGCCACTCAACAAGTTGTATAGTGACAACAGGCTGCGACAATATAAAACAAAGCACCGAGAGTCTGACATGAAGATCAGAATCAACGAAGTCTAATACGAGTAGGCCTAAGACGGAAAGAAAAACATAATAGTAAGGAAAAATGTAAAAGAGAAAAGCGGGTAAGAACCTAAATTAAAAGAGGGTGGTAGAGCGTATGGGAAGATGAGAAGTAAGAAAACACAAAAAAGAAAAATATATTAAGGGCTGAAAAAGCTGAAAAATTGAAAACGAAAAAGTCGAGTAATGCAAAGAAATAGGTGAAAAAAAAACAAACGAAAAATAGAAACAAGAATTCAAAAGCAAAAATGAAAAACAAGAGGAAAAGGGCCAGACAGAAAAACGGGAAAAAAAGAAAAACTAATATTAAAACTTGCTATTCGGCTACGTGAAGGGAGCAAGTGTAGCATATATTTCACATGGAGGGGGAGAACTTACCTCCGTTGCCGCATGTCTCCTCACAAGTTGATAGGTCCGCACAATCGCTATCCTCGTCAGTGCAGGGTACACAGATATTGTACTCTTCGTCGCATTTGAAATCGCCTGTTTCTGGTTCGGGAGCTGGTGCTATAGGCGTGGTTTCAAATGAAGAGCTGATAAGGTTTGAGTGAACAAAGGCAAAAAATTCCTGAATGAAGTATGCCACGTGAAATCAAGTCTATCGGCCGCCACCGCCGCCGCGGCATCAGACGACCTGTTGGGAAATAAGTTTACACTGGCCTGACCATTGCCGATTTCTGCACAGACATCCTCACGCAGAATACATTCATCAGCCTATTCGCTGGCACAGGCTAAGTATGGAAGTAAGTATGCATTGCTTTTCGACGCGAGTGCACTTGCCTACTTCAGCCCCTGCAGGCACCGTATCAGCTAGAAAGGCAAGCCTGCTGGCTGCCATTCCTAAAAGCCTTAACACGGATACCTTACCTGCGGTACATTCATTGTGAGCTGCCACATCTCTGACTGCATTCTCATCAGCAACACGTGCACCTCAGTCTCGCTGCGGACTAGATTCGAGAAAGACACATCAACGCCTCTACCCTTCTATTTGCAGCATATCTCTGCTCGTTAACTCCCCTCCGTCTTCTTACCGCACTCCATTCCTAATGATGATGAGTAGGAGGATTAGGAGGTGGATGCTGTAGCAGTCAAATGCCTCCTAAAAGGCAGGATATCTGGCTGTTTCTGTGTCCTCTGCTTAAGTCTGCCCACCTATGTGTATCTCTGCACAAGCAGTACTTCTCTCATGTCTGATGGAGGCACTAAGGCACGCACAGTCACAGCGCACATCTGAACATGAGAAGATGCTTCATGTTCTGCAGGCATGTCATGCCGATGACATGCAGCATTAGTACAAATGCCGAATGACATTTGCGGACTTCATACCCGCATTAGAGTAGGCATGGATAGTCATCTGCGGTCTTCTCCTGACACGTCAGCCGCCTCATCCATAATTAATCAACCACTTGCCTGCTGGTTCGTTTTGTGTCCCAAGGGGATATGTTCAGCGAAGCAGGAGCATGCAGACTGATTTCTTTGCACCAGTCATGAATACGCCGTCTCGCCATGTACAAATACCATCGCGCTTTGCATGTCATCAGTGCTATGGCATCATGGCTGCAAAGAATGCTTCAGTTCTAGGGCACCTAAGGGTCATTCAACCAGCCGATGTCATGACTTCGCTGGCAGGATGTAATAGGCTGCTATGTAAATCGGAGGAGTAACCACCTTGAGGTACTTTGCCACTGGGGTAATTTCATGATGACGTTCTAATGGACAAAGATAAAGATTTCCCGAATGATATATGTCACGCGAAATCAAATCTATCTGCCGCCACCACCGCCGCCGCGCATCACCAGGCGGCCTGTTGCGAGATAAGTTTACATTGGCCAATGCCGATTTCTGCACGGATATCCTCATGCCTATTCGCCGGCAGAGAATTTTTATGTATGCATGTATTTATGTATGCATACATTGCTATTGGACGCGAACGCATTTTCTTACTTCGGCCCCTGCAGGCGCCGCATCCGTTAGAAATGCAAGCCTGCTGGCTGCCATTCCTAAAAGCCGTAACACCGACAATTACCTGATAATCCCGCGATTCTGCTCTGCTTCCTGTTTGATTTTATTTCTATCACTATATTCGGTGGGGTTTGATAAGTTTTTCAATGTATCCTATGACAAATCTCGAATATCCTCACATTTTCGCATATGCGTCATTTTTCTGCAGTCGTTTCTTGTTTTCTTTTTAATTATCATTGATTTTCTGTGTACACTCATATCTCTTCGGAAATTTCCCAGCGTTTTAGCGATTTTGCCTTTTGTCTTAGCGCGCATGTCGTAACTTTTTGTGGTTTATTCCTTCCTGCCCACAGCCCAAATAATAAAAATTTTCTAAATAGCCAGTTGTCCGAAGATTTTTTTCGGGTTTAATCTATTTAATCTATCACCTCATACAGGTGCTTTATTTGTTTTGGCCTAAAATCAGTCTTATTTTTGTGGCCGTATATCCATCAAATACTAAATTCCATGACATTTTAGGACTTTAACGCCTTTTTCGTTTTCTCTACAATATTCGATGATTTGACCCTGCCATTTCTGGATCATAATATGTGAGGTATTTTTCATTTATTCCATGTTTTAAGGATACTACTCGTGCACAGGTTTGCTTAAACGCACGTCAGTTCTTGTGAATATTCAAAATCTGCTCGAATAATATTGAATGATGAGATTCAAAATAAAGCACATTTTCGAAACTACTCATCATACTATAGACAGATAAACTTTATTTCAACCCTACCTTTATCACTTTCACAGTTCTGGTAGCACTTCGTTAGTACCTGCTTCGGTTCCTTTTCTCCCGGTTGAGCATAGAATATGGAATCAATGCATTCCTCATGGTCGGGTGTGCACACGTCTATGTAATTCATATATGTCTGGGTTTCTGAATGAAACAAAATGTGTTATCATTAAGCCTGAAGAAGCAATATTCATTCAGCTAATGGCTGACTGAATACTTCACCTTTTCTAGTTACTTGGCAGTCCACATAACATTTCATGAATTTGTCAACGGTCCCTCCGCTGTTTGCAAAACTGAAGCAATTGTTGTCCTCCTGCATGCAGATATCCCCCGAAGCCGTTACTTTTCCATCGTCTAGGGCGGAAAGGTTAAAATAATTTACGCATATCTAAAAGCATAGGCATAGAGTTGCACAGGAGCCTCCGAGTTAATACTGCAGCGACTAAAAAAGTCATTTCTGGGCATTATGTTGTAAGATAGCGTTTCTTTGCAAATAAACTGAGTGTTATAGCTGATGAAGTCAAACACCTCCCACTGCTAATGTTGAAGTAGGTTATAGCATAGACGTATTATTATACTGAGCTCTGGCGCTGATTTATAATGCGAATTAAACTTACCGTCGGTGAGTAGGTGACATACTTCCAGGCATTTGGTCCATTCGAAGAAGGCATCGGTAGATGAGTGGATTTGATAAAATGTCATCGGGGAACATGGCTTAGACTGATCGATGCAGGAGTACGCTTTAAGCGACTGTGCCCCAGGCACTAAATAACGGAAAATACTTCTTAGCTTTTTTCAACAAACAAAGGTCTAAAAAGGTTTACGAAAAACAAGTCTACCGTTTTTGAAATCGCAGGCCTTCAAGCATTGATGAAGCGATGAAAAGTTATCTTGCTTATTGTAGAAGCCTACGCAACCCGAGTACTCTTCTTCGCAGATGCTGATGGCTGCCTGCTGTTGAGAAGAACCTTTAAAATGTTGAAAGAAGAGCAATTAAGAATTCAGAGATGAGCCTGAATTTACTGGTAATAGGAAACACCCACAGTCCACGCAAAATTAACGAATAAGGCAATGGGTTTATAATCAGGAGTACCTGCATATGGCTACTTATGTAGAAGTCATAGATATGAGGGTACATACTTTGTGTAAAATGTCTTTTAGCGTATATACAATGGTTATTCTTCGGCCTATGGGTATGGCTGTATTTGTCGGCCTCAATATGACAAATACTAAGATTTTGCAAAATAATGTAGAATGAAAAATATCTCTGATTAATTAGACAAGAACGTGTCATCTCATATGACCGTCCAACTTATTTCAGCAAAGCATCTAAACAAGGGGTTTGCCTGGTAGGTGAAGGTAGAATTTCTTCCATGCAAATATATGTTAAAGGCACTGACATACCTAAGCATTCAATCACACTGTTATTTCCTAATTCTAACCGGATGAGTTTGTTTGGGCGTTACGCAGTCGTTTTTGAAACTCTTTACTTGACAGTCTACCTTATAAACTATTACGATTTGCTGCTTTCTAAGATTTGTCAGTATATTTTCTCGAAAAACAATCATAATGTTATACTTTGGTTATTGATTTTGCCTTCACATCAGATAACCAAGATAAACCCTTCTGGAATTGCTAAATCTGTAGATGACTAAACAAATGTATAGCCAACTCGGAGTCAGAATCTGAGCGAACGTCGGCATCCTAGGTTGCAATTATTAAATAAAATATGCAAATGGACGTGGACTTGGATAAAAACTGACTGAGGAAAGAAAAGGTAGCTGTTTGAGGGAAATTCACAATTTTGCTCATGAAAATAGTATTGTAGCGGAGACACAAAGATGTCCTCAGCTCTAAGTTCTTAAAACTGTACTTCACAAAAGCATTAATATTGTTGAGGTAATTTCCATGACAGAATGTCTTTGCATTGCAAGAACATAGCACGGATTGAAGCGCAAAAGATGAAAGTGACAGCAAGGAATAGCTCGTACGATGTTAATATAATGGTAGCCTACCCACGTTAAAAAGTACAATGCTCAACACCACAGTCAAGTACTGCAAGGCCATTGGGACTAGACGATATGTCGCAGTGAAAAATCCCACTTTATATACGAATGCGATCATTTGTTTTTTTCCCCAAGAAGTAGGCGTTGGTTTGTTTTGTCTGCTAATCAAAGTTAGGTTTTGAATGTGCTTGTAGACTGTGGACGAAAGGAAGTAAGTGCCAGCAGGCACAGGTGGATGTGGCGCATTTTCCTCAATTCTGAAAGCCAAGGAGCACCTTTTCTGAATTTGAAGGCCCCAGAATTACAAAAATTCATATGAAAGGGTCTACGAAGTCTCAGATAATAATACTACTATACTTAAATGTTTGACATATTTCTTTTCATCGCTAGTATTAGTGCATCCGAAACTACCCATAGTCTCTAATTATATCGTGACATTTTTCTTTAAGGAATTGATATTTATGTATTTGTTGATGAAACATTCCCATGGTTACAAGGCCCTTGCAGAGTGATCATCGTTCTGTGTGTTGCAATTACACTTAAATAACTTTATATATATGTGTTTATCAAGTTTGTTTTAGGATTAATCATGTATTTTTCCCACATGAAGCACTAATTGTATGGAGTGGCGACGGTATTATTGTAGTGAACGCCACGAGTCACGCTTTGGATATCCAGATGGTTTGATCCTTATCGACTCTCCTAAATCGCTGCCTATTTTATTCTCTAGACAAGACGGAACTACGCGTACACACTAATTACCGTATTGTGCATTTTTCAGAAAATAAGCGGAACTTGTGAAAAAGGTTTATTCGAATCAATCGCACAATTGTAATGCTTGAATCCCACTCGTTTATATTCGACAAACTTCATAATATACTCAGTCACATTAGCAGCACTATTTACATGATGCAGTCGTCATGCTACCACGTACCTATTAAAATTCATGGACCTGCATGTTTTAACCAATTCACAAGCTTTGACATAATGCAGTTTTGTGAAACATCATATAGCCAAGTAGTTGCTGATATTCAGACGCTACTTAGATATTCAGTCAGGCCCTGAGGATCAGGGAGATCTAGACAACCGTCATGCTAGATCATTCTGCCTTATTTACTGATGTTCATTCAACAAAGCACAGATTTTAGTATGTTTTACATGATGGCAGGGAGATCATGTTCTTCAAATGACAAATTTCCATTTCATCATCTCACTATTCGGCGGAAAAATGGGCAGATTACCACTACTGTAGAGCTACTTTCAAACACGCATTAGTTGACCTCGTTACGTTGCGATGCAATGTCAGTCTATGTATATGACAACTGGGCAGATTTCGTTCTTCGCTGGGTAGAAGTCAACGTTTAACATGAAGAAGTCTTTCAGCGCATTTGATGTTGATTGAGGATCCGACACATGTGATTGGTAAAAGCTAACAGGGCAGAACACATCACATGGACTAATCGCATCATTGCATCATCCGCCTTCAGCGTCTCTGCTGTAAAGCCACTTTGGTCAGATGCACTGGATGGCAGTCCCAGTAAATCGTTTCATCGGACGTCGTGACGATCCGTGTCGCATTACAACTACTAGCTGCTTCCAAATGTAATATTTGGGCCTCGATTAACTCTGCTGACGTGCCGCTTCGTAGATTCTAAATCATTTGACCGGTTTCACACAGATTACTCAGTTACTACACTGTAAAAAGGCGTTTGATCGAAGCTCATTAGCTTAACGGAAACATGTTGAAAAAGTTGGAATTTTGAGAACCAGTAGAGTTAACCACACGAGAAAACGCGTAAACTTCGATGATAATTTTACCAAAAAGCTAAACGACATATTCGTTTAATTTTGAAAGTGTTAGCTCAAGAAACATAACGGATAATACGACGAAGTTGTTTAATATGTTGCGTCCTTTCCATGGCATAACATACGTTACAGTTCATGTACATACTGACACCGAAATTTATGTCATTTTAGTGACTACTTACCTACTTTTAGGTTGCTCACTTAAATACGTATTGTTACTACAATAAATACCTGTTTCACATGTATTGCGTCGTCTGTACTGTGCCCGATTTTGGGTGCCGATTAGCGGGGTCACCGTGAGTAGTATGTAATACCGTAGTACTTTACGCCCGTCAGGTGGCTTTCGACGCGCAACATGTGGGAACAGTGAGGAACTGCGTCTCGGGGGACTCACCGCAGAGGTCGATATTTTAAAGATCGAATTTCACCGAAGCGTTGAACTCCTCTCAAGCCCATTTTGAAGGAATGGAATTCGAAGTCATCCACTCCTATGGTAATAATCTGGATTTTGGTATAACATTCAATGACCTCTCCGATGATGAACGCCCAATATATCTATGTTTTCACGATGAGGAGTGGTGGAGAAATGGAAAACATCACATGCTGAAAGATGGCTGGAACAAACAAAATGCTGTACAGCAACGTTTGTCGGACACGAATAAAAACGCAATGCAGTGAGCTAGAGGGACGACTACGAGAACTACGGCATCTTCGGGACCAACTGGCAAGTCATGGATACCCGACCAGCTTCGTCAGCCGCTGCCTTCGAACGCACCTACGGTGAACAAACGGAGGAGATCAGGTTAGCAAAAGTAAGAGATCCGGGTGAGTTCCGGTGGGCACTTCATGTTCCTCAAACGGAGGAGAGCCACCAACACGCTGGCTCCCTCTACCATATTATAAAGAATGTGTCCGAAACGATGGAACTTATCGTTGGAAAACTCGGCGTGGGTATCGCTCACCGTCCTACAGCGACGATTCACAACAAAATCATGCAAATGAAGGACAAACTAAACTTGGGAGAACAATGGAGTGTAGTTTGTCAGATCCCGTTTCTGAACTGCTATCGAAATTGTGCAGGAGAGACCGGACGACCGCCTAGCTCACGAATAACGGAGCATAAACGGGCGGTCCGAAGAGGGGGCCGCTGTTTCAGGTCGCAACTCACACCATGGAGGAAGATCACGAATTCAACTTTTCGAGCACGCGGATAGTTGCGCGAGCCAGCAATAAGGCAGGGCGAGAACTGCTGGAAGCCTGTCTGTCTGACACAAACTCCATCAACAGACACGTCGATATACCCACCTGCTATCACGCGCTCCGGTCCCGCTGTCAAGAAGCGAGACCCAATTTCCAGCCAAGGGTGCACGCAGTCGTCGCCGCAAGACAGTACGGGGCTCAGCCTATCGTGAATACCACAGCCTGCACTCCTATCACCCTCTTCATGCCTTGACTACAAACACTGCTCATTTTACACCGCATTCTCACAGTCTCTGACGACGGCATCCTGTACGAGACCGAAAGCTAAGACTAATACACCTACTGTTCCAGAGATCGTGTGTTCATCCGCCTTGCAGAGACCAGTTTATCTAATGAACGCACACGGAGTCTTCCTTTTAAGATCATGTCGTTTGCAGAGCGATTTGATCACACAGTTGACGGATGTGCATTGCCATCCTCGAAGACCCCAACGGTGGTCTCTTCAAATTCGGCGATACGGGTTCCGGATGACAAGAGCCTATTAGGACACACTTTACAGGTCCTTCAGGGACAGTCCTGGGAAAGTTGTTAACCGCGTCGTCCATGAAAATCTGGATAAAATGACAAATACAGTTTTCATACAATGTTTTAGTTCTACACACACCAACTCGAGAGTTCAAATAAAGCAGTGGAAGACTGCTGTAAACGTTGCTTATGTGTCAGGAAATTGGACAGAGAGAAAGAGGAATCGCTTGTCTTTCAACCCAACTGTATGCGTATCCCTCACTTGACATTGTTTACGGGCATTGGAGTATTTAGCTTTCTTGAAAATAGGCCATTTCTACAGAACAGGGCAGATAATTGGGCGAATAATGCTTGCAGCATTTTATCAGATGCAGATGCACACTTACAACTAGTGATGGTATTTAGGAAAACATTGGCCGGACGGGCCGCAGCCGAGGAGATGATGGACAAAATGGTAGCCCAAGCGTTGACTTTCGCCACGACATTGCTCAGCTGACAAAGCCCCGTTTGACTAAACACACTGCTTCCACCCATTCTGTGTGTTAAGTGTAATCAGGAGACCAGCAGATAGGGAGGAGGTTGTTGACTTTGACAAGACTGTCAACCTCGTGGAACAAGAAGTTGCGGTTGGGAGCCGTTAAATGTCAAGAGATTTTTAAATTGACATCTGTCATATTCACGTCCGCCCCACGCCTGATCACTCCCAGTCCGGAGTAACGGATCGGTCTATCCAACAGCCGACGTGCCTGTTATCGCAAAAAAATTATCGATCGTCTCTATATCTTTGTGGGTTTTCTGTTGCATTGATACATATATGCAAACCGATTGGCAACATCGGAAACACAGAGCGAAAACCTGTTTCCCATTTAACAGTCTAATGACTGATCAAAATACCTCCACACACAAGTGTCACATAAAAGACTAAAATCAGACGCACACCTGTCAAAATCTTAAATTACCTCATCTTTTCCAATTGGCCATTAAACCACATTATGCATGATATCCGCTGGGCATTAAAGGGAAAACTTATGCATTATCTTTTAATGATAGCACCCAGAGTTTATTCGCAAAAGAGTGGCGGAGTATCGAGATAGGCCATTTGGTGTAATATGCAAAATTAGATGTGATACATTAGCGCTGACAAGAACCCTACAGACATGACGAGTTTTTGATTTAAACAGAACATTATGGCAGTACAATTTTGATTTCGTTTCTTTGAAATTTTACACACTCAGTTGCAATGCGAAAGCACCCATTTCAGATTGTTAGTAAAAATGTGTTAAACGATATCCTCGGCGATGTTAACACCATCGTATTGTTTGTCTGATCTTATTTAAGCAAAAATGGTTCTTCTGAACATGTTCGTGCAAGAAGCGGGAAGGGGGAGTTAAACGGGTTCACGTTCATATAAAAACTAGGTTTTGAAGGAAATTTGATATGGGCGTTGCCTGTAAAGCACACGAAATCGGTCAGTGTACGGTTCGATGTGGGCAGTCGATACTGGCCATTCAGAAAAACAAAATGGTCTGCAGACTTTTTCATAAAGTGCGCCCCGCAGTCATAACACTTGCATATTGCTCACGTAGACCACTCACACCGCATTATTTCAACCTGATCCGGCTAATAGCTTATTTAAAAAAGGGGTTTTGGAAATTAACTTACTATCACACTGCATTTAAGGTCCTGACCAAACTAGTCTGTATTCGGCGTCGACGTTTTGAGGTCAGAAATAATGTGAGAGGCATACATGATATTGGTGATCGTTGAAGGATATAGCGGTTTTACTAGCACATAGAGAGTCAACTAATTTTGCATAGAGAAACTTATTCAACTGAGTCAAACAACTGTCAAATAAGATAGGCAAGTATTCTACCTGCATGCGTATGTTGGAGAAAGGAAGATAGCTGCCTTCAAATGCCGATATTTTGCACTGTTATATGACGACACGTATAGCATCGCCAGAAAGAACTTGCTGTAGAATTCCTATAACATTTTTAATGCAATCTTCCCACATGCATTTCACGAGGCACAAAAAACCAACAGCAGCACCAACTGTCTGTTCATGATGCGGTTGTTAGACAAAGTCTTAATAGCGAATCAAATGCAGTTCTCTTCAGAGGAGCAAAGAGAACGACCACTTTTTCAGTTTTGACAACAATTATCGAGTTGCTCAGAAGTGATTCTTTGTGAGGACATTTAAAACTCCTGCACACTCAATGCAGCAACGCCAAAGTAGAGATACATGAAGTTTAACATCGCGACAAATGCAGACGGATTGGCTATCCGAAGACGTCTTTAAGCCGTTGCGTATGTGTTCGCCGTCGGGGAACCCAGCTAGAAACGCCCGAAGCAAGGCGAACAAAGAATCAAGTGAAACCTAAGCTTTCGATGAGATCAATCAATCAATACATCAGGCTGACCTACAGAGTCGCGCGTAGTCACATTCAGACCCGCGCCACTGATCGTTGATAACCTAATTCCCCCTATAACTGTCGCTGTTTCTCTTACTGTCTTCATCTATGACGGAAGTTGTCATAGTTGGACGTCTCCAATCGAAGTTAAAGAAATACCGGCCTGAACGCCGCTCATCTCTACATCAGTATGACCTTTGAGGCTATTCTAGTAAGTTCGCCGTCCGAAACATGGCAATCGGCTGATGGACTCTACGTTTCCGCGAAAGTCGCCCTCAAGAGTGTATGCAAACGCTTCTGACAGCATGTATTCGATCAACTTGCTTTGGCCACCGTGGTTGACTTTATGGAACAACGGAACAATGGGTTCTGTTTTGAATTTGTTCTTGTAGACAATTTCGTGCACTAATATCTGCCTGTCTGTCGTTAACAGAAACACTGGAGCACGATCAGCGAGATCATATAGCGAATTCAATGCCAGTGGCGACATGTTAACAAATATATCCAACCACATAAAGGAGTTTAGACAATCAAATCAATTTCGTAACATATTACAGGCATTCATTTCCCTTAATATATGTCTATGTTCTTGAAATATTCCATGGATCTGGTTGTCAGGAATGGAGTGGTCTTCTCTTTCGCGAAGGAGAAAACACGATCGCTGAAACAAGAACTTTGCTCGCCTAACCTTTCCGATAACTGCTCAAACCCACAATCAGATAAAGTAGCAGATACGGGTAGCTCATGCAAAACGACCTGCAGTTTTTACAGGATGCAGTCGCCATGCCACCACATAGCTATGACAATTCACGACTCCCGCTTCATCAGGGACTGTTGTACGCGATGTGATGATTGTTCAATGGCTGACAAGACAGTGGTTAAGCGTTGCAATTTCATCACGGATGTTGTGTGAAGGTGTGATGATTTGTCATGATGATTGTCACCTCTAGCGAGAATTACAACTCCGGAAGACGGAGATGCGATCTCTGGAACAAAAAAAATTAGTGGCCTGACTTTTCGGATTCTCACTCCGACCCATCATCGAAGACAGTCGCAGTTAAAGGTAATGGTGGCACAAGGAGTGCAGTATTTATAGCATGAGGCTGCCGATGGACCTTATGCGCACTGTAGTTAACAGCCCTCGCAATTACTGCTTGGGTCGTATTTGATGCGATTGCGTCTTGTCAGTCCGCGTCCGAGTCGTAGATTGTCGTGATTTCCTCAGCCGTGTTGGATGCTGGTATGACGATCGCCACGCCCAGCAGTGTCAAATGAAAGACCAAAGGCTGACGCACACCTGCCAACAAGCTTAACTTTCCTCATCTTTTCCAATTGACCATTGAAGTGCATTTGGCATATGCGCTGGCCGGTAAAGGGCAAACCAATGTACCATCTTTTGGTGATAGCATACAGATTATAATTACAAAATAGTGGCCGCGTGTTGAGGTAGACCATTTGGTTTTCCCACTTTGTCCCCGCAAATCCACAGTCTGGTCTCCGTGTCCTTCAAGAATTAGTCTCAAATATAAGTTGCACGCGATGTCATGATTGTCCGATGGCTGACACGCGACTGCTTAATCATTGCAATTTCATTACGGATGTAGGGTGTTGGTGTGATGATTGCTCTTCTATCTGACACGCCCACCCTGGCGTCGAGAACAGGCTTCGCCCGTGTCATCTCTAGCGAGACTTTCAGCCCCGTCGAATATGAGCGTGCATCAAATCTCGTCGAATGAGCAGCAACTTTATAGTTGGTGCCATTTCTCCGTGCTGCTGTCGTGTGTTCGGCCATTCGCGTTCGGAACAGTTTTACGATCTTTCTGACGTAGTTGCCTTGTTCGAAACTGGTGACTTACGCCTTGAATGTCCGCTCTAAACTTCAACAGACTGACTGAGTTAAAGGTAGAGCTCTGATATGTATTTTATATTGCGCGCATGGTGATATGCTAGAAATGTCGTCCATCTTTTCACCTGGCACTGATCCTATGCGACTGAATTAGTAAGGAACATACAACCATTAACTTTATAACCGGGAATCAGTGTTATATCCTCACTGACAGTGAAACTGACCAAATGCAGTCTGTTCGTGACGTTAACTAATAAGTTACACCACTAATGCTAATTCTATCGGTAGGATTAAACGACTTTGCTGAACAAACCGCATATACTCTCGCCCTGTTCAGTTTCCGGGGAAATTGATGTGCGAAGCTGCAGTTAAATCCTCCGTAACAGACCTTTTCAGGCTCGGTCTGAAATCTGGTATGAATATCTGAGCTGAAATTAACCAGCAACTGATGAATAACCGCGTAATATTCACAAGCTACCGACAGGTAACCAGTAGTATACAACTACGTAATTATTTACCATCCTGGCAGCACACGCACTGGCGACAGCGAGAAATCTGGAATGCCAAAAGTAGAACAAGTAGCCAAACCTGAGGCGTGATAACAGGAATCTAGATCATCATTGCAGTGTACGGAAGCAGTTGTGCATAGTATGCATTGTTTTTAAATTTCTCCAAAATCGTCCTTTCCACGTGGAATGCTATTTAAATAATTTTTATGTACAAACCGTTTACTAGTGTTAGTGGAAATCTACGCATCATCAAGTGGTCATTGTAACATTTTAAAATCCGCCAAATGCGTAAATGCGACCTTGTCGCTGCTAACACAATATTTTGGGAATGGAACGGTCAAAGTAATTGCACTTTGTGAAATATGCTATTATTTGTATGGCCACTCTGCTATACATCTGTAATCATAGAGCGGATGCCAAATAGCGAGCGAATGGAGAAAAAGTTGGCGGAATATCAAGTAAAAAGGAGTTATTTTGTTTATAGCAATAATAATATCGAGGATAAGCAACCGGGGAACATTTCATACCCTCAAGGACAGTGAAACTGACCAAATGTAGTCTGCTCGTGACGTTAACTAATAGGTTACACCACTATAAATGAGACTTAAACAAAACATTAGAAGACGCAGATGAATAACCGCGTAATAATCACGAGCTACCGACAGACAGCCAGTAGTATACAACTACATAATTATTTGTCATACTGACAGTACACGCACTGGCTAAAAATCCGTTCACCGACGACATCGGGAAATCCGGAATGCCTAAATTAAAACGCATTTCGTCAACGAAGGTTTTCCACCTGATGCGGAACATATGACTATTTCCGACGGTGGATTTTCATATATGGATCAGCTCACAGCATTGGTCCAAATAACCAATTGCACAAAGAGCTAATTGCTTAAATAATGCCTTCAAGAGTTATCATCATTTATGATAAAAGTACAAGTGGAACGTATACTTATGGGAAGTCAAGTGAGACACTGAGAACTGCAAATTATTCAACGGCTTTTAATGGATATTCTCAAAGGCAAAAATATCACCTGTCACGGAGTTATACAGAGGATGTTTACGGAACAAAACTGCTAGCTTAATATTGCACAAGCGTATGAAATCCAAATTTGTTTGCTGCCAAATGGCTTTTCAACACGCGGCCTTATGAAACCTGTTTTCGTGGCGTATCTATCGTTCTACTAATACTTACTCCTCTATGTCCTTATCAACGAACATAAAATGATTTAGAAACGGACTAAAATACATCCAACGTGAGGCGGTATTGGAATCTATGCCCACAATCTAAGTCGTTGGCTAACCGCCATCGTTGACGTTAAACTACGCTTTTAGGATACTTTAACAAAAATTTCACTGCCGAAATATTTTTGAGCGTTATTCCGATTTTACTGTTTCATTTAATTCGTACGCATTTACGGCTACAGATTTCGCTTACACAACACATACCTTATAATCATTTTGGAAATGACGGTTATCTTCATAACCTACAATTAGTGATCGAATTAATAAAATGTGTCGAAATTTACAAATAATTGCCAACCACTCGCCAAACGACAACATTTCATGAGTCTAAAGTATATGTTAATTAAAAAAAGGTTGAAAGAATTAAAAACATATAGGAAATGTCAAAAAAAGAGGGGGCGTTCACCGGGAGGGGTTCATTTGAGATCCGACGTTAAGGGTAGTTTATTCGTCTACCCATCTTCAGGGACTGGGAGGTCCTGTGCACAGCACTCCTTATTATGGCGCCCTTTGTCCAATGCGTGATCCGCCAATGCCGCCTGTGTGGCTGCATCCAACCCGCATGTCACCGTGACCTGTATCGCCCCCGTCGGCTGCGGTGTTGACTGACGGCCCCGATTGTCCCGCGCTGTGACTGTCCCCGGCTAAGAAGGTTCGTAAAGTCAGGTAAGGGGGAGGCAAATTGATGTGGCGGTTGACAGAGCGGTCGGTGGACATCCAGGCTTCTTGTACTTGCCTTGCTGTGTGATCGCAGCCCTGGCCCACAATCTCAACGGCGTCAAAGTTGAAGATGTGTCCCATTTGCGCGGCATGGGTTGCTACCTCCGACTTTGGGTCCAACCTTCGCACGGCCAACTTATGCTCGTGCATTCGCGTTTGCAGCCGTCGGCCGGTTTCCCCAACATAGTTGCAACTTCCGCATCTGCGTTGAAGTCGGTAGACAACGGCCGACATCTCCTGCTTAGGGATCGGATCTTTCGGCCGCATCACTTGCCGGCGGATTGTTGAGTCAGGCCTGTGGGCAACACCTATTCCGAGTGGCGCGAGTGATCGAGCCACGACTTCGGAGACCCCTTTAATGTACGGAATGCTCCGCCATGAGTTTGGCTGACTTTGCTCCTCGTTCCGTTTCTTTGGCTGCCTCCGGCTTCGTTCAATGAATGCCCGCGGATAGCCATTGGCTCTGAAAAGTTCTCGGAGGAGCTTTATCTCATCTAGTTTGACGGCTGGCGTGCTGCAATGAGTTTCCACCCGTCGGTACAGCGTGCGGACACAGCTTCGTTTGTGTTGTGGCGGGTGGTTGCTGTTGTAGTGGAGAATTTGCAGCGTGTTCGTCGGTTTTCTGCACACCGACGTCGCTAGTTCGCCATTTGGTTGGCGGTAGACGAGAACATCCAAGAATGGAAGTTTGTCCTCTACTTCCTCTTCCATCGTGAACTGTCTAGGTAATTTATTAACATAGGAACTTGCTTGAATATTTTCCAACGTCCATTTTCGTTATAGTGTACTGATATTTTACTGAATGTAATTACGTTTAAACAATTTTTGCAGAAGTTAATTACATTTATTTGAAGTATTTGGTCGAGCGAACAAAATTTTGAACGTTAATTTCGTCCAAAAATTTTGTCATCATTTCCCGTTATCAGATTTCCTGAGGTAACTCACGTACTGTATGCCAGCTTTTCATATGTATATGACATTGTCTACCGCTAATATCTCGCCCGCTGGTGCTTTAGCATTTCGCCTATGATATGACCGTTATTTGACGCGTCAGGTTAAACGAAATACAAGCAGCCGCATTTATGAACTCAAAGATTTAGTACTAGTGTCCGCGGACATCTAGGACTACAGCCAGGGCAGTACTTGTGTTTCTACGTTGGAGATCTGGGTAGCATCCATGACGAAGTAGGAACAACAATGCTGGTGTTGCGTTATGGTATCAAGTTCGAAGAGGCCTAGTGTTTTTAGGATCGATGACAACCACGTTAACAGCAAGTCGATCGAGTCAGTCCGTCAACAATTACAATAAGCTTCTTCTTCATCTATAGCCTACGCAGATGGAGAAAACATGTATGGGGTGGGCGGGGGAAGTATGCTTCCTTCAAGAGGATGTATGTATAAAATGTCTTGGTCGTTATCACGCTAATAATCAGTTATGTTAGAAAATTAAATGGTTCGTTAGCAAGTGATCTATCAATTATCTCATCAGGCATAATAGCCTGAGGTGATCATAGTTACTGCTCATGTTGATAGTTAAATCAGTGCGCGACAGTGACATCCAACATTGTCTTGCAGTTCTTACCTGTCCACTAACAGAAACTGTTGAGGTTTTAGAAGATTGGTTTAAGCATTTGTCCTATGTGGGGCAGGTACATTTGTTGATCCAGAAGATGACTAACCTTCTCTTCACCCGCTCCGTTTGATCCCACTCTTCGCCCGTATCCGCGGACTGTTTTAGAACTGACTCTTGTGCCTTTGCGTTGGTCTACCCAAAAGAAACTATTTGCGAACTGTTGGATATATGACCAGCTATGTCATATGGTCGACAATAAAGTCTACTGTCGAATAAGTACTTAAACTTTCATTAATCGGGACCACGAATATTCAGGATCATAGTTTGTCTACATTCTGTGATATCGAAAGTTGGACTGCGGGTCTGAGGACCATGACTCGAGCAGCTCGTCGCTCACGCGGTTGTCACGCCCCACGAGGATTTCGGTCTCTTGAAGCTTGAAAATATGGCCGAGTCCCGTCGAATGAGCCACCACCTGAGAGCTACCGTCTCCCCACCTCACTGCTGCTGCGTGCTCGACAATTCGCGTACGGAGTAATCTCCCAGTTTCCCCGCCATAGTTGCTTTGTCCGCAACTACAGCAGATCCGGTAAACGACTCCAGACGTTTCCTGCCGTGGCAGTGTGTCTCTCAGCCTGATAGCTGCTTCCGGCCTATGTGCAACCCCAACTCCAAGTGGAGTGAGAAAACGACTGACTGCATCCGGGACTCTCTTCGTGTATGGGAGTGCCCGCTAAAATTTGGGACCGGTTGGATTTGGTCTCTGGTGTCCTTTTCGTATGCACTGGTTGACAAAGTTGCGCGGGTAACCATTGGCACTCATGACCCGTCGACGATATTTTAATTAAGCAATCCTGTCTTCCATTTCACTGCAGTGTGTCTCAACGCGTTGGCATAGCGCCCTTACGCAACTGCGTTTGTGACTGATTGGGTGGCTGCTGTTGAAGTTCAGAATTTCCGTCGTATTTGTCGCTTTCCTGAACATTTCGGTTTTCAGGCCACCACAATTTTTGCGGCAGACAAGGACATCCAGAAAGGCCAGCTGGTTGTCTTTCTCCTCATGCATAGTAAACTGAATGTCTGGGAAGACGACGTTGATATGTTCTTTCAGTGTTAGCACCTGATCCCTTTTGATGACGAGGAAGGCATAATTTACATACCGAACCAAGAATTTCGATCTCTGGTGTCGGAATATCAGCGACTCCAGCCGTTGTAGGACCGACTCGGCTATGAGTCCTGAAATCGGCGAACCCATCGGCGTGCCTTTCACCTGCTCGTAGTGTCAAGGGCAGGCCAATGTGTTTGCCGATTTCGGGACTCATAGCCCAGGCGGTCGTACAACGTTTGGAGTCGCCGATATTTCGACAACACAGGACTGACTCCTGTGCCTTTGCATTGGTCTGCCCAAAATAAACTATTTGCGAACTGTTGGATTTTTGGCCAACTCCGACATATGATCGTTGATTTACTCACTGGTGAATAAATACTCAAACAATAACTTATCGGTACCACGAATAGTCAGGACCATAGTCAATGCTCAGCAGTTTGTCTTCATTCTGTGATATCGAAAAACATGGGCTGTTTTTAAAGGTTTCTTACTTACTCAGTGTTTAATTTTCGTCATTTAAAAGTTAGCTTTGCTTTAGCAAACAACTAAAGCTACATGTAGGCAAACGTAGTGCTGTCAGGAGGCTAAAATCTACTACACAATCAATTCATGCATGTGTGATAAACAAACTGCCTTTGAGTAAATAACACGAATAAACAAATATCGATTTTTGTAACGGAACATCTATCTGCTAACGAGGAATATTTCTTGCGAGTTTCGTGACCACGAACAATTTCGCACAAACGGTGGCTCCTGATACAATGGTAACAATTTATGCGCCGCAGTCTGTGGCTAACTAACATAATAGCACACAGTACGTGAGGATTATTATGTATATAGGCCTTGTCCTAAATAGGCAAAGAAGTAGAAATTGTTTAAAACTGTGTTTCCTGGTGCAAATGCACCTTGTCAATGGCATCTACTGCGTAGTACCATCCGTATTTTGAACAGAAAATTTAATTACTGTTAAACGTAGCGTCTGTCGTTCTTGTCTCTACTTCGTTTTTACGACCTTGCAGGAATTTAATTTTCAAAGAACAACTGGATAACAACGGTCGAATTCGTTTTAATTACATATTTGTGTATGGCTTATTAGCCGTCGTCGGTCAACCTTACATGAGCCTAGGTTTGGCTGCACCTCAGCTACGAACTCGCGTTTTGTTCTAATCATCGATTGTTGTTACACCAAGGCACTAATGACTGAGCAACTAACTCGATATCCTGTCCGCCGCGATCAGAAATATTAAATTATTTCTAAAGTGCCTTAACTAATCAAATTACAGGTACGCGTTCCCATTTTGTGTCATAAAGGCCAATCTAGGGCCCCCCAGTCAGTGATATAGCGATCAGCACTACGCGATGAAGGTCGACAAAAGCATGAGGAGTCCAGGTCCTGCGAAAGCTGCATCTTGATAGACATGGCTGAGGTCGGCTAGCAAGTCAGAAATGGCCACCCTAGTATCCCTCACCCTGCCGACACTCTACTCTATCTGCAATTTCATATAGCGACCTAGGGAATGGATTACAACTTCCACAAAGTCCCTTTTTTGAAAATACATTAGAAATTATATATCTATATGAGTAATAGCAACCAAGGATTTCGACATTTACTCAAATTCTGGATCCAGAATATTCGGAAAAATTCTAACCACCCTGGTTTAGCGACCGCCTTATACGTTTTTCAATTAAATTTTCCGTATGATGGTTAGAGCAAACGTGAGAACCTTGATGCGTGAAAGTGAAAATGTCAATACTTGCCATGAGGAATTTCCGGAAGATAAAACAGGAAATCTTCGGACGCGGCCACCAAAAGACGTAGTTTCGCATTCAGTAACATTCTTCTGCTCGTTGCAAAACCCTCGCTTTTATATTTCCAGGTTCTTCTATATAAAATAATTCTAGCCCTACAGCGAGCCTATTCAGATGCTACCAGAAATCGAAGAGATGCATAGTATGCGCAAACGCAACCTCAGGCTGCTCGGAATTGACTGCTTGTGAAAACAATTGCAGAGGTGAGAGTAAGTGCACCATGCTTGTAAAATTGAGAGTTTGATCCTCGATTTCGACAGTGTCCACTGTGTGCCCCCCTACAAGGTCAGAACAGGGACGATGACTTGCGCAGGATCTACTTTAAAGCGAATGCGAACTTGTGCAGCATCTACCGCACACTCCAGTCCTTCCCCACATGGACCCGGTGTCAAGACGGAGTCAAGAAGGCCGAAGGCGCGGGCGAACGCAGTGGATGGCTCGGTCAAATTCGAACCATTGCGCTCCACTCCACACCCCCTGGTACACAAAACAAATAACTAGGTTCTTGACCAACAACAAATGGCATGACCGAAGCCGCACCTAGGCGTGCCGCCACACCCGTCTCGGATCCCACGGAGTGGGATTGCCGCAAAGGCCATATTAAGAAGAAGCCATTGAAGCCTGACTCCCTGAGCACTAGCCGGCCGTCACACACAAACACAAAATACTCGACCTACTGCGAGGTCTAGGTTATCCCGTAAGTAGGCAACCTTTCAAGCCACGGTTTTTAGCACACGGTGATAGCTTCAAGCGTGTTAGATTGTTTATAGTGAGGCAGATGCGCGGAGGCGTCGACGTTTGTACCAGAAATCTCGCTTATATTTCCAGGTTCTTCTCTATCAAAAACTTCTATCCCTCCACAGCCGGCATGTTCAGATGCGACCAGAAAATGAAGAGATGTCTAGTATGCGCAAACTCAACCTCAGGCTGCCCGGAATTGACCGTTTACGAAACGAATTTCAGAGGCGAGGGAGGTCAAACACAATGACCTCCCGGTGCCCTATTCCGTATTGTGATTTCCCCTGGGCAGGAGAATCAGTCACGTGGGGAGGGCGCGGGTGAGCAATTATCACGGTGACAGTGAGCCAGTTTGCCGAGCAATCGTCACACCAGCATCGAGCACGGATGACGAAATCGCGGCAATTAACAACTCGGACTCGGACCGCCAAGCCACCGCCGCATCAATTACGACCCCAGCGGCGATTGTGAGAACTGTTAATTGCAGTACGCAAGCGGTCCCACGGCAGCCACGTGCTATAAATACTGCACTCCTGGTGCCACCTTCACCTCTATCTGCGAATGTCTCTGATGATGGATTCGAGTGAGAATCCGAAACGTCAGGCAAATAAAGTTCTTGTCCCAGTGATCGCATCTTCATCGTCTGAACTGCTACCTGGGACTCGCCTGTTCGCTTCTATCAACAACCAGGTTCATGACCAACAACAAAGAATGGAGACTGGCACGACCAAAGCCGCACCTAGGCGTCGGCCACACCTAGCTCGGATCCCGCGGACTGGGAGTGCCGTAAAGGGCTTATAAAGAGGAGGCCATTTCAGCTTGACTCTTTAAGCACTAGTCGGCCGCCCCACACAAACACACAATACTCGACCGACTACGAGGTCTAAGTTATCCCGTAGGTGGGCAACATTCTAAGCCACGGCTTTTAGCACACCGTGATAGCTTCAAACGCGTTAGATTGTTTATAGCGAGGCAGATGCGCGTATACTTCGACCTCACTCTCTACGCCCATTCCCAGGCCCCAGCCAAGCCGGTCATTTCACTGATGTAGGGAAGGGGGGGCGCGGTGGCTGACATGGTCTAGTACCTTGTCTGGGCACACCACATGCACGACCTGGCCCGACAAACACAAGTCCCAGGATTTCACACAAGGGGGGTTGAGCGACGTGCGAGTGTCGTGAAAGGAGCTGTTTTAGCCTGGTTCGCCGGCCACCACCCACCAGTCCGCCAATCCCTACAAACGCACACACAATTGGACGGATGGCGTGGACTGAGTTGGGACGTAAGTCAACGGCCTTCCAGCCAGGCCCTTGACGCGCAGTTATAGTGTCGAGTCACGCATGCAGCGGGAGTCGCACAGAGACCGAGTCGAGGCGCGTACGCCCTGTTTGCGCAAAAGGTGACCATTTGATGCTTGTGTTTGGTGATGCTGATGTACGAGGAGATGATGGTGAGGGAGGACGTGGTGGTGGGATGCAGCCGGCGGTCGTCTACCGCAGGTTCTCATGGACGTGTATGTGGTCGGGGCATGAATGTGCGAGGGCATTGTGGACAGTGGAGGCGGTGCTTCAGTCAGTGGGTCGCCAGTCTCTGTGCGATGGCTTCGCAGGCGACCGACCACGCCGATGTGTGAGGTGAATGCTCGGGGACAGTGTGGACACGAGAAGTCGGTGGTGACAGTGTCAGCTAGGAAGATGGTGGTGGTGGTGGCGGCGGTGGCGGTGGTGGTGGTGGTGGTGGCGGGCACACTGAGCGATAGAATGGGGTTGAGCGTGGTGGGTGCACTGGGCTCGCAAGGGACCGACCAGGCTGATGTGTGAGGTGAAGGTGCGGTCGCATTGAGGACAGGCATAGACGTGGTCCTCACCATTTCTTTCGACGGTGGGGGTGTTGGTGTTTGTTGTTGTGTTAGGACTGTGTGTCATGTTGAGGTGCGAGGCAGACGCCACAACGGCGGGCGTTGAGGCATTGGAGAAGGAGGATGAGGATGGCAGTGGTGGTTCAGGAGGGCGGTCAAAGTTGTCTTCGTGGAAGGCGACGACGAGGTGGAACGAAGAGATGACGGTGCTGCACTTGGTCCGAAGGTGTCCAACAAGTCCATTTGGTGCCCGGAATATCCACTGACACCGTGGACACGTTGGGGGCAGTCCGACGTTCTCTTTGAGAAGTGGGTGCAGCTGAGATTTGCCTGCTTCGTGTTTGGCTTTCGCAAAGGCAATGCGGTTGGCTTCGTAGATCGTAGCGTCTGCCTTCAATGTCCTTCTCGAGGTCGGTCGGCTACAAGCGAGGTCTTCCTAGTTGGCCGAGTTGATCTGCAGACGCTCCAGAGAAGCCTTTATAATGTCCTCCTTGGCGACAGGAACCCGTGGCGACATCCCCATAGACGAATCGTTTAGGCAGCCGCTCATTATCCATTCGCACGAGGTGGCCGGTCAAACGCAGTTGCAGTTCTCTCAGCATGCCGTCGATTCTGTGGAAACCCGTCTGCTCTACTACGTCAGTGTCGGGGATTCAGTCCTGCCACCGCAGCTTCAGTGTCCATCGGAGACAGCTGAGGAGGAAATGATTGAGTCTCTGCGCCTGCATCATGCACACGTCCAAGTCTCTGCTCCAAACAGCAATGTCGGGAAGATGACGGCCATATACATCTTCAGTTTCGGGCTGAGCGGAAGACCGTGACGATTCCAAACTGTGTTATGAAGACGACTTAGGGCATGACTGGCCTTGGAAACCCGTGGAGCACCTTCGTCGTCGATGTTGGTACTGCATAGATACGTAAAGTTTTCCACCACTTGCAGTTGGGTTTCGTTCACGCTGACTTTCGGCGCATTGTGGGCGCTGTTTTGGGCGGCGGTTGGTGCATAACCACCGCCTTCTCCGTGTTGATTATGAGATCGAGGTTCTCGAAGGTGGCGAAGAAATGATCCATGCTCCTTTGCTTGTCCCCTTCCGAGGTGGTTTGAGGGCACGCTCGTCAGCAAAGAGAAGTTCGTGGACAGTGGTTGCGAAAACACGCTACTCGAAGTACATCCGCCGCTGATTGAGGAGCTGGCTGTCCGTCCTCCAGGCGATAGGGATTTGGGGGGCGTTTGTCACGGTAGGCGTTCATCAGCATGGCAGAGAACATAAGACTGAAGACGGTGGGCGCCAGGAGGCATCACTGCTTCGCTCCATTGGTCATTGTCAATGCCTCATAGAAGGCTCCGTTGCCCGTGACGCGCACCATCATGCGTTCCTGGAGCTAAGGCACCTTCAGGGGGAATCGCACGGGACAGCTGAATTTCTGCATGATTTTTCACGGTCCTTCGCAATTCACCGTGTCCTAGGCTTTCGTCAGATCCACGAAGGTAGCGTGGAGTTGGGTCCGCATTTCCTTGCACTTCTTCTGAAATTGCCGAGCGGCGAAGATCATGTTCGTGGTCCCACGATGACGACGGAAGCCGCACTGCCTTTTATGCAGAAGACTTTGTTGAAGGTGGCTGCGCAGGTGGTTGAGGAGAGTGCGAGCAAAGATTTTCACGGCAATGCACCGCAAGGAGATGCCTCGGTGGTTGTCGCAGACCCGGCGGCTTACTTTCCGCCTGTATAAATGCAAAATTATGACGTCTCTGAAATCCTGTTCGAATTCTCCTTGACGCCACATCTCCTGGAAGAGTGCGGTCAGATAATCCATGATTGGGGGGCCACCATGCCTGTAGATCTCAACGGCGATCGCTCTCGATCCGGACGCTTTCGTCCTATGGGGCTGTTGCACGGTCTTGATGGTTTCGCGGGGAGAGGGTGGGAGGCCGAGATCGACGTTGGACTCCAGTCGAAGCAGACGGGCGATCGTGGCGTCGGAGATGGTGGAGAAACGGTTAAATAGGTCTGGGAAGTGTTCGGTCCAACGCTGTAGAATTTGTCTTGTGACTGAGTAGAGTGCTGCCGTCAGCAGCGAGGAGAGGTGCAGTATCTTTGGTTGGCGGACCGTAGACACCTTTGATCGTGGAGAAGACGTTTTTCCATTCGTTGCGATCCGCGTACCCTTGGATCTCCTCAGCCTTGTGAGCCGTCCAGGTGTCCTGTATCTCACGCAGTCGCTGCTGCACGAGGCGGCGACTACGGTAGACAGCAGCTCTGCTGACATCAGTGAGGCGGTCGACGTAGACTTTGTGCAGTCGAGCGGGTTGCTGATGTCGGCGTCGTCGTCGTCGAACCAGTCCTGGTGTTTGCAGCGTGCGCCATCAAGGACGGCCACAGTCGTCGACCGTATGGTCTGTGTCGACGCGGGCCTTGACTTCACTAAGGACAGTTACCTTATCCGCCTTCGGGACAGTCGCCAGGAGGGTATGCAGGACGTCGGCGTCGGAATTAGCCATCACCGGTGCGTATACGTTGAAGATGGTGGCGAATTTGCCTCCTCGGAGAGGCAGGCGAAGGCTCATCAGACGATTGTTGACGCCCTGGGCAATCGTTACACGATGTCGGTCCGAATGGCACAGGTGACACTCGCGTCTCATAGCTCTGCCTTCGGGCAATCGTTCCAGGGGACAGCGTAGTCGGCACCCACCACCTCTAGTTGGCCATGTTTGGAGAACCGGGTCTCGCTGAGTGCTGTGATGTCCATCCTGTAGCGCCCCAGTCTCCGAGCCACTACCGCTGTTCTCCGTTCCGGTCAGTTGCGCCTCGAATTACCTAAGAGGGGTCGAACATTCCAGGTTGCCAAAGTGAGTCGAATCACCTTACCAGTCTAGCGAGTGGGACGGCGGCGAGTAGAAGAAGAAGAAGAGGGTTTCGTCGTTGTTTCTTTATTAGTTGTTTTGACCGTGAGATTAACGTCTGCGACTACAGTCAGCATGTAGACCGCGTGGTTCCCCAGCATTTATTTAGGGCACCTTTTCTAGCCCGTTCCCCGTCGCGGGGGTGTGCAGTGCCACACTAAATAGGGCTACCCAGTAGATTCAGGCGCTGCCGATCTCCACTATGGGCCACGGATTTGGCATAGTGGAAAGACGACCTGAGTTAGTCTGAAGAGCCTACGACATCGCCGTATGCAGCCAGACAGAGCCTAGCTTCGGGGAGCCACATGTGAGAGTTGGGCACCAGCAAAGAAACACTAGGTGTAGTCGGAAACTGCAAGCAAGTGAGCAGCCTACCACGACCGTCTACGACTGTCTGCCTGCAAGTGCTCTTCGTCAAATTTACTTCGGATGACGCTGTAAGGTTTAACATCATGAGCCAACATGGAGACCTCACAATTCAGTTCGCAGACGCAGGCGTTGTCGTGTATTATGAATATGGTAGAACCAAGGACGGAGCCTTGAGGAATATCGCTTTCAATGGCTACCTTCACCGACTGCCTGTCACCGACGTGGTCGATTTGAGAGTGACCGATCAAGAAGCTTTGAATCCACTTCAGGATATTATCCCTAATGCCTGTAGAGGTTAATTTGTACAAAAGACGCTGATTTGGTACGCTGTCCAATACTTTCTTAAAGTCGACGTAGACTGCGCGTACTGGATTGCCGCCATCGGCTGCCCGGGTGCAGCGATCTAAACAATAAAGTAGGTTTGTCACGCATGAGCTGCCTCTATGAAATCCGTGCTGGGCATCGCGTAGCAGATTATGCTCTTCTAGAAAGTGTTTTTATTTCTCGCTTAATTATTTTTTCCATAATTTTCCAGCAAATGGAAGTAAGACTGATTAAACTGTAGTTGCTTGCTACGACATTGCGGATTTCCAATCGGCAGGCAGATAGCCTGCTTCGAGCAAAGCTTGGAAGAGCATGGACAGCGGTTTAGATAGTTCTCCAGCAAGCTCCTTTAACATTTTGGGCCGTATGTCATCCGGTCCAGGTGATTTAGACTCATTCGGCGTCAACAGTTTTTTGCGAACATTAGCTTCGGCGAAAGAGACATGCACAATCGTTGGCCCGTCCACTATGTCGCAGCCGGGAGGAAGAAACGCGCTTTTCTTCGTAAAGATAGACGTAAAACGCTGTGATGGCGTTAAATTTGTGGTCGTTCGTATACCAATGTATTTTGTGTTTTTCTACGGTTCTGTCTCAGCCCCATTAATATAATGCTGGTATTTTGAAAATACTATTTGGCCAGATCCTAGGTGTGGACATCGTGGATTTTAAAAGTCATCTGCTTAACTAAACATTCAGTTTGTCCATGTTCGACGGTAGCTTTCTCACTTGACTTCTTGAGTTCACTGAATATCTTCATGTCATCTGGGAATATTAGAGCCACCTTGATGAAAGCCATACCTGACATGAAGCATTCCTATCATTCTGAAATAACAGAATACGTTGGGCTAGAGATATACCCATGCCATGGTTAAGAGACAGGCACATATGTTGTTTCATAGAGTGATTTGGATGCCGAGACAACTGAAACATTTCTCATAGTCTTCTGTAGAAGATCTAAATCGCCATCCAGAATGTACTCTTTTCATGAAAATAGTATCAGGTTTTTCCTCTCATCGAGCCCGTATTTCTAAATCATATGGACGACTTTCAGCTAAGAAGCACGGCCCCAACAGTTTCAAAAATGATAGAGAGCCTGAACAAGGATGAGACGATATGTTACTTAAGGGATAATAGCCTGACGATTGCGGCTGTTTACGGATTCTCAGAAAATCGATCCTCTGGCACCTGTCAGCTCCATCGTTTGCAGTATATTTTGCAATCCATGGGTAGTGGTTTCACAAATTGCACAGGATGTTTTGGTTTTAAATAGGGTTTTGTAATTTCAACCATTCTCACGTCTTAAATGCTGATAAATGATTATCGGAGTTTTGTGCAATGGTGCCACAAAGGACACCTTTTAATTTTTTAAAAATGCTTACTTATGGTAGTCGGCGTCGATCGTCGGGTTACAACGATCTTTGACGCTCACAAGATGAAATTGTTAGGTGTTATTATGGACCTCGGTATATCATAACTCAAGAGTCTTCATATTTCAGAGAAGAGCACTCTGATTATCAATGAAACGGTGTGATCCATCGGATATATCATCAATAATCTTCAAACTATCAGTAATGAAACCGCCCTTGTGAAATGATCGGATGACACGTCCCGGAATTTTATTCTCTTCTATCTAATCTCCGGCACACTGGTTAGCCAGAGAAAATAGAATCTGTCAAGCATTTTCAAAAAAGAGACAGCATACGCCGACACCTGTTCCGATCCTGTTATATCACTTGGTGTTGATGGCTCACTAATCACTTTGACGTGCAGGAACTATTTTTAATGATGCTCAAGATCTTCCAGGATTGGGTTCGTCAATGCAAATAACACGGGACATCCTAAAATTAGTAAACGCACTTTTCGTTTGAACAACGAATTTATACAGGGGACGAACCTACTATTAGTGGTTGTGCACATAAATTCATCCTTGTCGTCTAAGAGTTCCTTTCCTAACTCATTAATCTTAGATCATACATAAAATTCCGACTCGGAATCAGTCATTTTAGGGTATTTTCGCGGGTTTAGTTACATAAGTTACTTTTGTATTCGATGGCTACTCGTTTGAGAGGTATGCATTAAAGCCCCTGCGAACACGCGGACATCTCGGGTGAACCGTTCAACTGAATCTCACCTCTTACACATAGCTCAGAAATATCAATAGTTATTTTATTTAAAGCAACCCGCCAAATTGCCAGATAAACCCAAGAGTGATTGGCTTTTTCGACTCTGTTTGCAATTTACCCCACCGATGTTATGAATAGTACAAACACTCCTCTTTTGACTCGTTGTTTTATTTAGGCAGCCACCAGTTAAGTCCCGTGGAAACATACAATTTTGGACACATAAGACCCAAAACCATGACTAAAAGCACCCACATACCACTGACATCCTTGTTCGTCGTTGTGCACGGATTAAGCTACAAGAAACAAATTAAGCAATTATGCATCATTAAAGCATGATACTGACCTTATAGTAGGATCGAACATGGGGCTGGCATGAGGGGAAGAACACATGTGGCATTATGGAAATCGCAAAGAAATGAATGAGAAAAAATCGAGGAATCAGTTAAATACAAAAAATGGAAGACATAATCAGAAGAGGAAGAACATAATAAAGTTAAGGGAGAAAAGGCACTAGTCCAAAATATAACCGTACGATAAATGAAGCTTCCCATGTCTATGCGAAGAAAGAATTTCGTAAAAGTTGTCACTAGCTTAAAGCAATTTGGTTGAAATATTGTTTCGCCTATATGGTGGCCAAGCGCATTCAAACGGCCATGTCATGAATTGGATTTGACGGAGAAATAAATGCAGCTAAATGACAGACGAAATAGTAAAGCAAAATGCGTCCCCTAGGCATTTTAAATCACACCGTAGCCATGCACATTCAATTTGATCACTGACACACTTACACTGTAATAGGCGACTTTGGGTATTTCACAGATACACAACAAGCTGTCTAGGGACAACGGGTTGCAACACCATAAAACAAGGCACCGAGAGTCCGACATGAAGTAAGAAAATGTAAATAAAAAATGCAATAAGGGCTGAAGAAGTTAAAAAAATTAATGACAAAAAAGAAGAGTGATGCAAAGAAGAAAGTGCGAAAAGGGAAAAGAGAAGGCGCAAACAAACAAAAATAATAACAAGAAAACAAGAGCACACAACGAAAAACAAGAGGAAAAAGGCCATAAAGTAAAAAGGGCGAAAAAGAAAAATAATATTTAAAACTTGCTACTAGGCTAAGTAAAGGGAGCAATTGTGGCATATACTCCACGAGGAGTGAGTAAGCTGAAAGTAGGGAGGAGGAGGGGGGGGAGAACTTACCTTCGTTGCCGCATTTCTCCTCACAAGTTGATAGGTCCGCACAAGCGGTATCCTCGTCAGTGCAGGGTACACAGATCTGGGAATCTTCATCGCATTTGAAGTCGCCTGTTTCTGGCTTGGGAGCTGGTGATTTAGGAGTGGTTTCAAATGGAGGAGATGATGAGGGTTGAGTGGACAAAGGCAAAGAATTCCTGAATGAAGTATGTCACGTGAAATCAAGTCTAGCGGCCGCCACCGTCGCCGCGGCATCGGACGGCCTGCTGGGAGATAAGCTTACATTGGCCTGACCATTGCCGATTTCTGCACAGACATCTTCATGCAGACTACAGTCAGCAGCCTATTTGCTGGCACAGGCTATGTATGTATGCATTGCTTTTCGACGCGAGAAAACATGCTTACTTCAGCCCCTGTAGGCGCCGCATCAGCTAGAAAGGCAAGCCTGCTGGCTGTCATTCCTAAAAGCCTTAACACAGATACTTTACCTGCGATGCATTCATTGTGCGCTGGCACAAAATTTACTGCTTTCTCATCAGCACCACTTGCATCTCAGTCTCGCTGAGAGCTAGATTCGAGAAATACACATCTACTCACCGCACTTCATTCCTGAGGATGATGATGATGATAATAATGGAAATGATGATGATATTATTGCTGATGATGATGATGATGATGATGATGAGGTGGAGGAGGAGGAGGAGGAGGAGGAGGAGGAGTGGGAGAACTTACCTTCATTTCCGCAGGACTCCTGGCAAGTGGATAAGTCCTCACATTCGCCATCCTCGTCTGTGCAGGCTACACAGGTCTGGGAATCTTCGTCGCATTTGAAGCCGCCTGTTTCTGGCTCGGGCCCTGGTAATGTAGGAGTGGTTGCAAATGAAGGAGATGATGAGGTTTGAGTGGACAAATGCGATGAATTCCAGAATAAACTATGCCACGGGTTATCAAGTCTATCAGCCAACGCCGCATCAGACGGGCCTTTGCGAGGTAAGTTTTTATTGGCCATTAGCAATTTCTGCAGAGACATCCTCATGCAGACTTCGTTCATCAGCCTATTCGCTGGCGCAGTTTATGCATGCATATATGCATTGCATTTGGACGCGAGCGTAAGTGATTACTGCAGCCCCTACAGTCGCCGCATCCGTTAGAATGTCAGGCATGCTGGCTGCCATTCCTAAAAGCACTAACACCGACAATTACCTGCGGCGCGTCCATTTTGCTCTGCTTCCTGTTTGTTTTTATTTTGATCACTATATTCGTTCGTATTTGATAATGTATTCAATGTACGCTATGGCGCATTTCGAATATCCTCTCAATTATGCATATGCGTTTTTTTGCAGCCGTTTCTCTTTTTCTTGTCCTATATCATTGATTTTCTGCGTACGTCATTCATATCTCTTCGGAATTTCCCTCGCCGTTTTGGCGTTTTTGCCTTTTGTCCTAGCGCACTTGTCTTCACCCTTTTTCGATTTATTCCTTACTACCTGCAACCCGAATAATAAATATCTTCTGAATAGCCATTTGTCTGAGTTTTTGGGTTTCCTCCATTCAGTGTATCACTTTATACTGGTGCTCTTCATGTTTTGGCCTATAATTAGTCCTATTTGGGTGGCGGTATATCCATCAAATAGTAAACTCTGTGAGATTTTAGGACTTCAGCGCCTTTTCGTGTCCTCTACAACATTGGATGATTAAACTCTGCTATCTCTGGATCATATTATGCGAGAAATTTCTAGTTTATTCTACGTTTCAAGGATACTATTAGCGCACAGTTTTGTCCAAATGTGTGTCAGTTCTTGTGAATATTCAAAGGCTGCTCGAACAATATTGAATGATGAGATTCACAATAAAGCAAATTTTCGAAAATGCACATCATAATATAGACAGATAAACTTTATTTCAACCGTACCTTTACCACTGTCACAGTTCTGGTAGCACTTCGTTAGTACCTGCTTCGGTTCCTTTTCTCCCGGTTGGGCATAGAATATGGAATCAATGCATTCCTCATGGTCGGGTGTGCACACGTCTATGTAATTCACATATGTCTGGGTTTCTGAATGAAACAAAATGTGTTATCATTAAGCCTGAAGAAGCAATATTCATTCAGCTAATGGCTGACCGAATACTTCACCTTTTCTAGTTACTTGGCAGTCCACATAACATTTCATGAATTTGTCAACGGTCCCTCCACTGTTTGCAACACTGAAGCAATTGCTGTCCTGTTGCATGCAGATATCCCCTGAAGCCTTTACTTTTCCATCGTCTAGAACGGAAAGGTTAAGAAACTTTACGCATATCTAATAGCATAGACATAGAACTACACAGATGCCACTGAGTTAATACTGCAACGACTACAAAAGTCATGTCTGTGCATTATGAGATAACATATCGTTTTCTTGCAAGTAAAAATTTTACATGTTTCTCTAGATGAGTGTTATAATTGATGAAGTTAAACATCTCTCACTGCTAATGATGAAGTAGGTTATGGCATAGATGTATTATTATACTGTGCTTTGACGCTGATTCAGAATGCGAATTAACCTTACCGTCGGTGAGTAGGTGACATACGTCCAGGCATTTGGTCCATTCGAAGAAGGCATCGGTAGATGAGTGGATTTGGTAAAATGTCAGCGGGGAACATGGCTTAGATTGATCGATGCAGGAGTACGCTGTAAGCGACTTCGCCCCAGGCACTAAACAACGGAAAATACTGCTTAGCTTTCGCTAAATAAAAATAAGTCTAAAAATGTTTCCAGAAACCAAGCGAACCGTTTTTGAAATCACAAGCCTTCAAGCATTGATGAAACGATGAAAAGTTATCCTGCTTATTGTGGAAGCCCACGCAACCCGAGTACTCTTCTTCGCAGATGCTGATGGCTGCCTGCTGTCGAGAAGAACCTTTAAAATGTTGAGAGAAGACCAATCAAGAATTCAGAGATGAGCCTGAATGTACGGGTTATAGCAAACACCCACATTTCACGCAAAATTAAAAAACAAGGCAATGGGTTTATAAGCAGGGATAGCTGCATCTGGCTACATATGTAAGTATGAGGGTACATACTTTGTGTGACGTTTTTTTTAGCGTATATATAATGGTTATTCTTCGGCTAAATAAAGAAATGTGCTTATGGGGATGACTGTATTTGTCGGCCTCAATATGAGAAATACTAAGATTTCGCAAAATAATGTAGGGTGAAACATATCTCTGATTACTTAGACAAGCAACGTTTCATACCATATAACTGTCCGACTACTTTCTTCGAAGCATGCAAACAAGGGTTTGCTTGGTAGGGGAACGTAGCATTTCTTCCAAACAAATATATGTTAGGGGCACTGACATAGCTAAGCATTCAATCATACTGTTCTTTCCTAATTCTAACCCGATGAGTTTGTTCGGGCGTTACACAACCGTTTTTAAAGTTATAAACCTGGCAGTGTACTAAATAAACTATTACGATTTGCACTTTTCTGAGAATTGTCAGTCCATGTTTGGTTGGTTGTTTGCTTTGCCATAAAGTCAGATCACTTAGTTGCAACCTTCTCGTAGTGTTAAATCCGTAGATGGCTGAACATACGTATAGTCATCCCGAGTCAGATTCTGAACAAACTTCGACATCTTTAATTACAGTTATTAGATAAAATATACAAATTGATGTGGCCTGGGATAAAACACTGCCTAAGGGAAGAAAAAGCAACTGTTTGAAGGAAATTCACGATCATGCTCACGAAAATAACTCACTGAAGGATGTAAAATGCAATAAGCAGAGACACAAAGATGTCTTCATCTCTAAGTTATTAAAACTGTAATTCGCAAAAACCTTAATACTACGAAGGCAACATCCCTACCAAAATGTATTTTCATTGCAAAAACATAGCGCAATTTGAAAATGTTAGCGAGGAATAACTCGTACGATGCAAAGATTATGGTAGCCTACCCAAGTGAAAAATGACAATGGTCAACACCACAGTCAAGTAGGGCAACGCCATTGGGAGTAGACGATGTGTCGCAGTGAAAACTCCCTCTTTATATACGAATGCGATCATTTGTTTTTTTCCTCTAGACGAAGGCGTTGACTTGTTTTGTCTGCTAATCAAATTTAGGTTTTGAATGTGCTGTCAGACTGCGGACGAAATGGATTAAGTGCTAGCACGCATATGTGGGATTGTTACATTTTCCTTAATTTAAAATTTCATGAAGGACCTTTTCTGAAGTTGCAGGTTCCAGGATTACAAAACTACATATGTAAGGGTCTACGAAGTCTCAGAGAATAATACTTCTGTACTAAAATGTTTGATATATTTCTTTTCATTCCTATATACTGCATCCTATAATTACGCTTAGCCTCTATTTATATCGTGACATTTTTCTTTAAGAAATTGATATTAGTGCAATCTTTAATAAAACATTATCATGGTGACAATGCCCTCACAGAAGGATCACTGTTCTACGTCTTGTAATTACGCTTTTATAACTTGCCATATATATGTTTATCAAATGTGCTTTAGAAATAATCATGCATTTATCCCACATGAAGCACTAATTGTATGAAGTGGCGACCGTATTATTGTACTGAACGCTACGAGTCACACTTTAGATATCCAAATGCTTTGATTCATATCAACGCTCCTAGAGCGCTGCCTAATTTATTCTCTAGACATGACGGAGTTACTCGTACACACTCATTACCGTATTGTACATTTTTTCGGAAAATGGACAGAATTTGTGAAAAGGTTTATTTAAATCAGTCACATAAATGTACGGCTTGAATCCTACTCGTTTATATTCGACAAACTTCAGGCTATACGCAATAACATTAGCAGCACTATTAACATGGTGCAGTCGTAATGCTACCAAGTACCTTTCACGAGCTTTGACTTAAAACAGTTTTGTGAAACATCATATAACCAAGTAGTTGCTGATATTCATACGCTTCTTAGATATTCAGTCAACCTCTGATAATCAGGGAGACTTAGACCACTGCCATGCTAGATCATTCTAGTTTATGTACTGACGTTCACTTAAGAAAGCCCAGATTTTGGTCTGTTTTACATGATTGCAGAGATATCATGTTCATCAAACGCCAAATCTCCAATCCAGCATCTCATTATTCAGCGGAAATTGGGCAGATTACTACTACAGCTGAGCTACTTTCAATCACGCATTGGTTGTCCCCGTTACGTTGCTGTGCAATATCAGCCTATGTATATGAGTTCTGGGCAGATTTTAATCCGCACTCGGCAGAAGTCAACGTTTAACCTGAAGAAGTCGTTCAGCGCATTTGATAATTACTGAGAATCTGAAAGATGCGATTGGTAAAAGCCAACAGGGCAGAACAGATCATATGGACTAATTGCATCATTGCATCATCCGCCATTAGTGTCTCTGCTGTAAAACTACTATAGTCCGAAGCACTGGACGGCAGTCTCAATAAATCGCTTCATTGGAAGTCTCGACGACCATTGTCGCATTATAAATACTGTCTGCTTCCAGCTGTATTATTCGGGCCTCGATTAACTCTGCTGACGTGCCCTTTCGTAGATTCCAAATCCTTTGTCCGGTTTCCCACAGATTACTTATTTAGTACACTGTAAAATCGCGTTTTGTCGAAGCTCACTAGTTTAAGGGAAAACTGTTGAAAAAGTTGGAATTTTGAGGACCAGTAGAGTTATCCACACAAGAAAACGCGTAAACGTCGACGACAAATTCACCACAAAGCTAAACGACATATTCCTTTAAGTTCGCAAGTTTTAGCTCAAGAAACATAACGGATATGCACAATCCAAAAAAATATTCTGTTTGCGACTACATCCCTGTCAGTACATGTTCCCCTCATAGGTGGGGCTGGGAGGGTTTGGGTGGGGCCGGAGCTCCACGTATTGTACGTTCTTTGGCACTAAAAGGAGCTGCTTTATCAAAAGTAACTTATAAATCAGGGAAAACTATCTGTTTACGCCCACTGAAGGTGGTTGTGGATCACCTCAATATGTCTTTCATTGCACAAACGCTTATTTGCCAACCATGCTGTATGTGTTATTACTTCATATATTTGACAATCGGTCACGGATAAAATCATACGTCTACCAATGCCGTTTATATGGTCTTGATATCTATCTTAGTTAATTTATGTATCTTTTGATAATTTTCGGGTTTTCTCACCAGTCACTTCAAGTAGTCGACTTGTATGCCAATGTGTGTGCTATGTAACCTTGGTGTTCATAGTCCACTTATGCAAATTGTTTATCGTTTTTTACTGAATATCCAAAGCAATTATGAAGCATAATTACTGCAGCTATTACCGAAGCATCATATGGAAGCGCATTAAGCTCCAGATGAAGACATAATATGAGGCCACTCTAGAGGTCGAGGCTGAGGTCCCCCCAATGTCGACGAACGAGGAATGTCGATATTGAACTCTGAAATTGCTGCCGATAGGTATTATACGTCTGTAAACGAATAAAGCGTGTAGGGACCGTGGATGACAAGGAGAGCACACACGCAGTTGAAGACAAGTGCTTTCTAGGGGCCTTGCAAGAATCCACCCTCGAAGCGCAAAAGTCTTTGTCTAATAGCAAGAAGTTGTTCAATATGTTGCGTCCTTTCCATTGCATAACAGACGTTACAGTTCATGTATATACTGACACTGACGCATATTATGATTGAACATATTGCTTTTTAAGCTACTACTAAGTTACTTTTAAGTAACTTACTTAGTTACTACACTAAATGACTCATTCACATGCATTTGCGTCGTCTGTGCTGTGTCCGATATTGGATGCTGATTAGCGTGGTCGCTGTGAGAACTATGCAGTATCGTAGTACTTTACGCACGTCGGGTGGGTTTCGACGCGCAACATGTGGGAACGGTGAGGTACTGCGTCTCGGGGGACTCACCGCAGAGATCGATATTTTAAGGAGGTGCCAAAAGCGGGTGAAAAGGTGGCGTGCCTTGCGAATTTTTTTCGCCGGTGGGGCCAGTCGGGACTATCGCGTAGAATGCCCCTCATAGCCCCTTAATAGCCTACTCTAGTCCCTCGATATTTGAGGGGATTATGCGGGGCTGGTCCGGGCTGGTGCTTGCAGGGGTATATACAATAGCAACATAAGAAGATAACGGGATCTGCACGGGAATTTCGAACATCGATCGTATTAGGGCTACTGAGGCGCTGCCAACTTCAAACTCAATAGAACTCTTTACCTGCTGGAACGCCCGGCTCGGCCGTAGGCGTTTACTGCTTGTTCTCCTCGATAATGGACCACAAAGCTCTTTTTGGTGGCATGTTTCGTGACTACGGTCTTGACATGGTTACTTAAATGCCCTATCTATAATGGGTTCTTGAGTCGACAGTTTATTCGTGCAGGGTGAAGCCTTTCCAATTTTAGCCCAGCAGAATGGACGACGTATTCGCTCTGAAATTAAAGTAATTTGAATTCCCCAACTTAATGGTTATCGGTCAAGTCCTTTCATGCATCACCGCATATATGAGTTTGTGCGTAACGCGTGAGGTAAGGTCGAGAACGTGAACGAAAACTAGAAGGCGATTTCTGAGGCCAAGATTGAATTTCACTTAAGCATTGTACTTCTCTCGAGCTCATTTTAATACTTTAATACGTTTTGCTACTACAATAAATAACTCATTTACATGCATTGCGTCGTCTGTACTGTGTCCGATATTGGGTGCCGATTAGCGAGATCACTGTGAATACTATGTAATACCGTAGTACTGCAGAGGTCGATATTTTAAAGAGGTGTCAAAACTGGGCGAAAATGTGGCGTGCCTTGCGCATTTTTTTAGCCGTTGGGGCCAGGCGGGGCTGTCGCGTAGAATGCCCCATTATAGTCCCCTCAAATTTCTCCATATTCTGGGGAATTACGCGGGATTAGGCGGGTCTGGTGCCCGCAGGGCTATATTCAAGATCAACACAAGAAAATAAAGGGATCTGCAGGGGGGGTTTCGAACATCGATCGTATTAGGGCTACTGATCCTATGCAGAATTCGCCCGGACTGAGGCGCTATCAATTTGAAAGGCAATAGAAATCGAAACCTGTTGGAACGCCGAGCAAGACCGTTGGCGTTCACAGCTTGTTTTCCTCGATATAGGACCACAAAGCTCTTTTCGGTGGCATGTTTCGTAACTACGGTCATGTCATGGTTACTTTAATTCCCTGTCTACAATGGTTTCTTGCGTCGCCAGGTTATTCGTGCAGGGTGAAGCCTTTCCAATTTTAGCCGAGCAGAATGGACGACGCATTCGCTCTGAAAATAAAGTGATTTTAATTCACCAACCTAGAGGTTATCAATTATTTCCTTTCATGCATCACGGCATATATGAGTTTGTGCGTAACGCGTGAAGTAGGTTCGAGTACGTGAACGAAAAATAGAAGGTCATTTCTGCGGACAAGATTGAATTTCACCGAAGCGTTGAACTCCTCTCCAGCCCATTTTGAAGGAATGGAATTCGAAGTCATCCACTCCTATGGTAATTATCCGAATTTTAGCATAACATTTAATGACCTCCCCGGTGATGAACGCCCAATATACCTTTGTCTTTGCTGAAAGATGGCTGTAACAAACAAAACGCTGTACAGCAACGTTTGTCGGACACCAATAAAAACGCAATGCAGTGAGCTAGAGGGACGACTACGAGAACTACGGCATCTTCGGAACCAACTGGCAAGTCATGGATACCCGACCAGCTTCGTCAGCCGCTGCCTCCGCACGCACCCACGGCGGACAAACGAAGGAGATAAAGTTAGCAAAAGTAAGAGATCCGGGTGAGATCCGGTGAGCACTTCATTGTCCTCAAACGGAGGAGAGCCACCAACTCGCAGGCTCCCTCTACCATATATGAAGAATCTGCTCCGTTCACGCGGCCAAGAGGCGAGACCGAATATCCAGCCAAGGGTGCTTACAGTCACGCCGCCGCGAGACTGTATGGGACTCAGCTTATCACGAATACCACTCCCTGCGCTCCTAGCACCCCCTTC